TTCCATACTAGGATCAATTATTACATCTAATCTGTTGATATTATCACCTAATTATAAAATTATGTTCACCAATACGTAAATTATTTCTTTGGTTACAATTTAATTAAATCATTATTGGTGAATTTAGACAGATAGCCTTATGGTCAATAGCCCTTTGCGGAATTGATCATTCTATTATTCTCAAATAAGATTTTTTTAAATAAGCATTTTAGTCTTTTATGACACGTTTATCATGATAATATCTAATATAAAGAAATCTTATAGTTTTCTTCTTGTATACAAAAAAAATTGTGGAAAATTATATAATGGAAATAGAAAAAAATAGAAGTAATAATATTTCTATTTAATGTATAGCCATATTCTTTGATATTCCGAAGGATATAGATTTTTAATAATCAGAAAAAGATGTTTATATCATCATATTTCTATACCAACAACAGATAAAACAAAAATGGCAACATTTGCAGATGACACAGCAATCATGGAATCAGACAAAAGTCCCATAATTGCATCTCAACACCTTCAAGAAGAGCTCAATCTGCTCGAGATATTGTTCAAGAAATGGCGAATTGGTATAAACCAGTCGAAATCGGTGCAAGTTACTTTAACCTTAAAACAACACCTGTCCCCCAGTCAAACTCTACAACAAAATAGTTCCAGCATCAATGGTGAGATTCTTGGGAATGCACCTGGGCACGAGACTGACTTGGAAGGGCCATATCCAGGCAAAACGTGAACAACTAGAAATAAAATTTAGAAAGATGTATTGGCTGCTGCGCGCAAATTCTCAGATGACTTTGGAGAACAAGTTACTAGCAACAAGTTACTATTACAAAGTAATATTAAAACCAGTCTGAACGTTCGGTATCCAATTATATCGAAATCCAAGTATTTCAATATAAATGTATTAGAATATTCGCGGCTGCACTATAGTACATCACCAACAAGAGACTTCACCAGGACTTTGTAATAAAAATAGTGGAAGAGGTTGCTAAAGATTTCACGAACAGGCTTGATTCGCATACGAACCCGTTGGCTGTCAACCTTCTCGACAATGGCGTGACAACAAGAAGATTAAAGAGCTTTAAGCCATTCGATTTTCAATTTAGATTTAAGTAAAGAATAAATAAACCAATATTATATAAAAGCATCACTGAATGGTGACACTGGGCAGCGACTTCCTAATGTCAACAGCAAACCGATTTAATAAATGTTCAGCTGAATAGATTGTAAATAAAAACTGACAAAAAATAATCATATTTCCAACTATTATATATGAACTAACAGATATAAAATTGAGTACATTAAACTTCATAATAAAATTTTATCTGAATAAATTATTGCTAAAACCGAACGATTTATTTTTATATAATAATCTAATTTAGAAAACAATCTAATAGCTATTTTTTTAGTCCTAATTTAATTCTCCAGAGTTGGAAAGTTGTGCATAAAAAAGTATATCACAGAAAGAAAATCAATGTTTTTTTGGTGCATATATTAAATTTATTTACTAATTATATTCTTTTCATGCAAATCTGTCTTGTTAATTGGCCATTTCTTCGATTCGTAGGCGTCTTAAATTAGATAAAAACATCCTAAAATCTGTGTTTTCGTTTACGTTCTAGATATGATTTTCCGTGCCACGCCTTGGAATTTCAAAAATTCCAATACAAAAGAAAAGGAAAGACTATAAAAACAACGTCTGGTTTTGCGACAGAAAGTGAAGATTTGTCCATGACCCAAAAAAGGTCGAATATATATTATATATTGTTTCGCTTTCTTTAATCTTTTATGATAACAATGTAGTTTAACGATATTATATTGAGATAAGAAATTAACATTATATACAACATTAATATCTTACTATCTACTTCTATATTCGCTTTCAAATTTCTATTGAAAAATATTTTATCTCAAAGAAATACAGCAATACCTCGCATGGTGCAAAATCTTGGAATATTTTAAAACTACATTTGTATTTTGTTCAATTATAATTTTTTTGTTGTGAAATTTTCAAACCGGACTGATCGAAGCCGGATTATACAAGTTATGTCGTATTATGAATTACATAAATCTATATATGTTATAATAATATTTAATATTATTTATATTATATAGTCCTTAGTTGATAGTTTATTTTCTAATTAACAATAAAACAAATTTATATGAACCTACATAATAAACAAATTTAATGAAGAATAACAATGGACATTAGTATGAAAAAAGTAATTCAAAAGCATCGAATAATTTATATAATACTGTTCAATATATGCCAAGCATAATTTTAGAATATATTTATGAGCTTCATTAACTATCTGAATCAAATATTAACAGAAGAAAGTGGCAAGTTCTAAGAATTATAAAGAAAACAAACACAAGGTGGAAGTCATACATATTTTACAGCATAAGAAAGTTAAGCAACTCGGATGAGTGATTAACACTTTTTTTCTAACTAATATAATGAATAAAATATTAAAACAAATAATCATAAATGCTACCTCAATACTAATAGTAGTTAATAATAGATTCATTAATATATTCTATATAGAAGAATGTTTCAAGACTAAATCGATTATATAACATTTATAATAATATTGCATTTTAATCTATGAAATGGAAGCAATAATTTCCTAGTCGAATGGATTCAAAAAGCAAAAGTGAAATGACTCAGACCAATTTTAGTTAATTAATGCTCATTCTCAGAAACTCTTACAATGTATGAGGTAACTTTAAAATCGTGATTAGCAACAAAAAAAAGGGGATCAAATATTGTACGGTATGCTCTCATTAGTTTTATATTTTTTTGAGAGATCCACAATCACGAATTACAAGGATTACTTCATTTATCTTCACTTTTACTGTTCCACTTGAGACATCTCAAAATTAAGCTAAAGTCTTATACGTATGTATGTATACAACATATTCATCCTTGATCCAATAACAATTTTAAAAAGGAAGAAGAATCCGATTGGTTCAATGTCGCGAGAAGACTGCAACAGCCATGGAATAATTAATAATACCGACGGGAGTTCAGATTGTTTGATTCAAGATTCCTTTCGATCGTGTTTCTTCTGTGCGCTTTTTTTTTATTTCTGCGCCGATGATTAAAAATAAAGGCGAGATGATCCATTTTAATTTCATGATTTACATCTCAAGGCGATTCATGATGAAACGTTTTAAAAAGTTCTCTTTTTTTTCAAAGTTACATTGCACTAATCAGGAGCGCAAACTGACCCGAATTAACGATAACATCGATATTGTTCATTTTAGACGTAAAGACAGAGAATTCGTCGATGATGCACTTTCACCGCGGTCCAAACAATTAGAGTGCAAAGAAAATTCCCACCGCAAGTGGAAAACGTCGATGCAAAGCAAAAAAATCACGCCGTCTGGGTTGGGTAACGCCTCGTTACGTAACTCGATAAGATCGACCGTCGGTTGTTCCTGCCGGAGAATCCAGCTCTCTACGGATTTTTCCGCTGATCGAGTCAACTGAGATTTTAGATTCGATTATTACAAACCTTATTACTATAATTGACTATTATTTTGAAATATGCCAATTTGTGCAAAAATTTCTAATTTGAACGCTGAAAGGTTAATAGGAAATTTTGCAGAAGCAACAGTATTCTCTCCTTCGATGCCGAGGAAGAGAAATAGGAAGTTTGCAAAATCCACAAAAGGAAGTTGCGAAGTTACGATTTCCTTATGTAATAAATATAGTCACAGAAAAAAAAATGTTTCTATTCAACATCCTTGTCATAAAAATATCAGAATTAAGTTCGAGAATTTTCGCAACCTCGATAACTTGAATTACATAATTACAAATTCATAATTGAATATCTCTCAAAAAAAGAAGTTCATTAAAAAAAATTCTAATTATAAACCAACACTGCTGTTAAACAATTTAGTTAGAAATACAATTATATATCTATAGATACATCTATATTTAACCTAATAATATATACATTTTGATAGATATTACACAATAGACTTAAAGATAAAATAATACTACTTCCTGTGATTTGCGACACTAATGACATTAAATAAATTTGTTGGCGGTATAATTGTCTTATAGATGAACAACTCAACAATAACCCAATTTATTACTTCACTCTCGATCAATTTAATTAAATCTTATGGTAAGTTAACAAATATATGACAATATAAATTTATTTACTTATTTATTTTAACCGCAAATTGATTGCAACTTATAAATAGTGTATGAGATTATACTTGAAAGCAAGTAAATTAAATTAACATCAACCAAGATCATAAAAATAAAAATTCAGCTCGGTATAAGACGCAATTATTAGACAAAGTGTGACACCTCGATTACACAAGTTAAATAAGAACTTGCCATATAAAATAATCAAATTATATCTGTATAATAGAATGTTTCAGGAAAAAAATAATAGATCGAGATTTTTTTACGAACTCTATTATAACTTGCATACAATATTCCTAAAACTAGCAACTTACGAATGTAACATTCACTGATGATATACAAATCTGACATCGGATAAGAATGATTAAATGCAGGGAAAAAATATATGAACTATAGGAATTAAACATTAGAGAATATCAGTTTATTAAATGAAATCCGTGCATATCACTTAAGATCTGCCGAAATGGACGAAAGTCAAACATTTTGGCATGCATTCAGTATGGATGTATGGTATCCATTTGAGTGGTGCAAAAGAAACATACATAATATCTCTATCAAAATGCCTAATAAACAAATATATAATTCATCTGGTTGATGATACAATAACAATGTTAATTTTAAAAATCAAATTCGAAACTATTTAAACTATATATGAATAAAATTATATTTGGATTTAACTCTTTGAGGGGGCAGACATTCCTAAACTAGACCAAACAAATTATGGTTGTCGGAATTTTGATATAGTCGGGATTATGGTTGTCGGGATTTCAATAGGCAATTTCTCCGGCACCATATACCATTCAACGAAATAGTAATTTATAACACTGATTCTTACCTGATTATCATTAAGTTAATAATTATTGATATTTGTCGATTAAGATTGTTGATTACCTCACGTTTCATCGTGGGTCACAGATAATCACCATTCAATTGATGATAAACAAGTGAAATCTGCCTCAGTGAAAGTATCGAATGAAAATGAGCCCCAGGTGATTCTCATGCGATATCAAACGTTATCTCAATAAACATTGCCAATATAAATGTGAGGCACCCAGTAAATATATTTTCTCATTGTCAAATTAGGTAACTAAATAATTAAAATAAATGTTGCAGGTAATTTAAGTAAGATAATTATTTCCAGTAAACGATTCTTTAGAAAGAATAATTATAAAAGGATTTATTTTCGACCACACAATAATATCATATATATATATATATATTATATAATCTGACATAACAATGCACGAGTACACTAAATACTAGAGCCAAATCACAATATGAATCTTCCATATTATTATATCATGTATACTCATCCATTTAAAATACTAGTGCAAAAATACTATAGCCAAGTTTACAACTCATCCAAAAAATAAAACCCATCGACGCCCCATCCCCATTTCATTTATATATAATTATATTAATCCTCATATATAATCCAATAAAAAATCAACATAATAGAAACATTAAAGCAGTTACTGAATAAATAAGATGCGATACATTTTCTAAAGTAAAGTTACAAACGGAAAAGAAAGAAAAAAAAAACAAAAGAAAAATATTTATCGTTTCGTTGAGCTACAAATCTTTATTATTTTTAATAGCTAGAGAAACATATCTTAAATACAAATTAAAAGCTATACAGTCCATTGTGTTTCTTTGTAATTAAAAATAATAAACTTTTATATAATACAAATTTTAAAAATAAAGTAGCAATTTAGAAAGAAAGAACAAACGATCGCTATATATTTTTTATACTTAGTTTTCATATCATATCATCTTTTTTTTTGTTACCACCATACTAGTTAATATAAAAAAATAATCATTTTAGTTTTTTTATTTGCTTCTCATAAATTGGTTATATCATAGTGTTTTTTTTTATCAATATTTATATATCATATTAAATATACATAATAAAAATATATTAAATTAAAAAATAAATGAAAAGCATTACATATGTATAGATATGGAAACAATTAATATTAATAAAAATAAGTCGTCATTAAAATAAGATAAAATTAAGAAAATACTATAAACATTACTTGAATAAAATAATCGTAAAAATAAACAAAACAAAATTAACAATAGGAACTAAAAATTTAGCTTAGTCAAAATGAAAATCTGCCAATGATATGTCCTATGTAATTTCAATCAATTTGTCCAATTATAAAATGATGATAAAATAAACAAAAGATAAAAATCTATAACTTAATAGTAATGTACTTCACTGTAATGCAATCACTAAATATATAAAACCTGTTTTTTATTTTCTTTCTCTTCTTTTAATATAATTTAGGCACAACTGTAAACTACGAATATTTCGGTTTTTTAAATACACGCAGCCATATTATATCATTATTATTATTATTTTACTATCACATTCAAAAGAAAACAAAATCGAGGGAAAATACATTTTGAAAGTAAATTATAGAATATAAATATTAAGCGCTTAGAGAACATATTATAAATGCATTGCATACTGAATATTTAAAAAACCTCATCGTTAATAATTACATTAATAGCTCGGCTAAATTATTAGTCCCTATCTATGTCTGTATATTTCATTTCCTTCTTTTATATATAATATATAATCTTCATATTTTTTTCTGTAACAGTAAATGCAAAATAAAATCATCTTAAACAATATACAAAATAAAATGTTTTTGTATATATGCATTTATGTTATACAAGATTTTGTTTTTTTTTGTTATTATTTTCTCATCACTTACTCGCTACTAACTCATCTCGGCAGCCTCTTTCTTAAAAAAAACTCCTAAAGCTAATGCTAGTGACCCCTTGCTGCATCTTTAGCAGCTATTATTAAAGGCGTCAAACTAGCTAAAGGTCTTGCTACTTTCAAAAATGGATGCTAAAATAATAAAAGAAGTATAAATATTAAGATACTTTGATATGATAATCAATCTTACTTTGAGTAAATCTTTAGCTGAAGCTCGTTTCTCTACTTCGACAGCAAGGCATTGATCAAGGAAATCTTGGAAACCGCTTGATAGTCTCTCCTTTTCCTTGATGTCAGGTTTGCCGTTAGTGGCAATAAGGTATAAGGCCCTAAGTGGATTTTCATTAAGATAGGGTGGCTCCCCTTCAATCATTTCTATTGCCATAATACCTAAAGACCACACATCGACCTAACAAAAAGATGTTTGTTTTAGTAAATCCTAACATGTAAATAATATGTTTACCTTAGGCCCATATTGCTTCCTGGTCACTACTTCTGGAGCCATCCAATAAGGCGTACCAACCATAGTAGTTCGTTTGGATTGTTCTGGACTAATTTGAGCACAGAAACCAAAATCAGCTACAAAATAAAGCATTAATTAATAATATGCATTTAATTTATAAAATAAACATACTTAATTTAACTGATCCGTCTAAGCCCAACAATATATTATCTGATTTAATGTCACGATGAATGACTTGATTGGAATGCAAGAATTCGAGGGCTTGCAATACTTCTCGACAAACGGCTGCGATTTGTCCTTCGTCCATGCAAGTTTCCGTGACAACATCCGTCAAAGAACCGCCTGGTAAATATTCCATTACAACCCAGAGTTCCTCATTCACCAGGTAACTATCTAAATAGTTGACGACGTTGCCGTGTTTGTTTTCTCTCATTACCAAAATTTCGTTAATAATCAATTCCTTCTTCGGTTGCTGTGAAAGATTCATCTGCTTAATAGCGACTTCGACCCCGGTCGAGGTTTCCATTGCAGTATAAACTGTACCCGAAGCACCCTGGCCAATTTTTTCCATTTTGGTATACTTTCTGTTTGGATCTCCGACAGAGACGATGCTGCGAAGTTTCTCCAAAATCTCCTCATCCGACATCTTCTTTTTTCGTTTTTCTGAGGCAGGACGAGATACCTCAGGGCCGGCCTGATTCTTATTTCTATCCAACAGAGGCGGAGCCTGCGTTGTTGTATTAGTATTGGGCACATGGGTGGGCGTGGTGTGAGCCGGACTCAGACTATGTATTGGGGTATGTACACTATTATTACTAATTGGAGGTGGATCTTCAATAGGTTTAGTATACTATAAAAAAGAGTCATAATAATGAAACACGATTCTAAAATTGTTGATATTAAAATACTTACAATACTTTTAGTGCGTTCGGGTCTACTAGCGATCGGAGGCGGAGGAACGTCTTCTTCAAGTTCTGAACTCACAACATGAGCTGGACTATGATAAGAATGTGGTGTACCATCTGCCTCAGTAGGGGTAGTACTACTAGGGCTTGAACTAGATACTCTACTTAATGAGGAACCTAAAATTGAATATTAAATTAAATCAATTATGTGTAATAGAAATAAACATTTACCTGAATGTGTAGTATTAGTAGTCTTTGTCATATACTTGGTGTTTGGAGTTTCCTTCGTACTACTATCGTACCAATTCAAAACATCTAAAACAGCTTGAGGATTGCTTTTCTGTTCCTGTTTGCTAATATTGGAAGTCATCAATAATCTGGACCAAGCCTCTGGCATTCCCTAGAATAAAAACCAATTTAAGTACTGGTAGATAATAATTTATATCCTAATTGGTTTGTGTCAATGTGTACTATTCAAATGTTTGAGTATTTATAACCTAGTCTAAAATGGCAAATGAAAATGTAACACTAACAATACTCACTTTCAAAGGCAGCTTGCAACAGAATTTGTACAAAGTTAATAATTAAATACGGAAGTACAAAAAATAATAGAAAACTAAGCTCCTACAGAATTTAAATATAACAGAAATTAAATATAAGGAAAGGAAGATTATATATGTATTTTTGAATACTCACAGTGAATTCACCAGAGGCGGGATCAAAACCAACATGAACTGTATGCTCAAAGTTTGTTGGATGAGATATATGGGGTTTATCTGAACCAATGATTGAGAGCTTGTTGCCTTTAATTTTGGACTTGATTGTTTTCTTCTTCCTCTCTGCATCTTCAGGCTCTTTAGGCAAAGGTCTATCTACAGCTAAGGAATTACTGGTTAAATCCATGGTTCGGTTAGATGTTAACCGGACAGGTGGTGCAGGAGGCTTCTCCTCGTCTGAAGACATTCTGGCTGAAATCAAATATCAGTCCTTGATAGTACAAGGGTTGACTCAGATGTTGATTTGTTTAGAAATTCATGGGCGGGACGAAAAGTATGCGTCAGCCTTTCATGAAAAATTATACACACTAGGATTTACCAGCTAGCCATATATAAAAAACAGTATTTTTTACCTGATATTAACAGGCACTAATTGTAAAAATTGTTGAAATGGAGTATGCAGTTACTGTTTCAACTACCGGGTTCCTTTAATCCGCCACATTTAATCGACTTCCAGGCTTAAAACGCTTTTGAAATTGTGCCGTACATTAAAGAGTTAGGATCCACCATTGCCGATTATCAAATGGAATCTATTCCACCAACGCGCCACATATCTCTCTCCCACTCAGTCACACGCAAATCCTTTTGTTCAAATTGCGAACGTACGTCCGGCCGTTCTCTTTATTTCGCCAGTTGATATATTTAGTACTACACTAACGCTCCTACAGTATGACAAGCAATGACAGGTTTTTGACATAAAAATACACGGCATACGGCATCGGGCACAATTTTTCTATAGACAACTAATGAAAGTTATCCGCAATTAAAAAATACACAGGACATCCCATCCTGCGTTTCCATTTACAGTAAAACTTCCATCTACAGGAAACGGGATATACGTCTGCTATGAATAAATATTGAAACGTGTCAAGAATCAAAATTAAACATATTTAAATTTATAATGAACAAAATTAATTCTGAAAGAAACACGATTTTATTACATATATAAATATTACTTATTTCTCTTCAATAATTACAATGATGCAAAAAAAACAATTCTTGAAAATTAAATTAAATTTTCAATATACTATTCCCATCTGGAGCAAAGTTCTATTCATTATTATTAATTAGCATATTTCACATTTTAAGCAAAATATATTTGAAAAAAAGAGGAAGATAAAGGTTTAGATTAAGCTTAGGCTGAATTTATTCTAATGCCAACTGTCAAAAAAATGTGTGGTTATGTTTACAATATTTGTTGATTTTTCAGCATTACTATCATTACTATAAAATCGCAGTTACTGACAGTTACACAAAGTTTTATTTCAATTGTTCGAGCAAGGCAAGTTTCAGACCCAACGAATATACATACTTAGAAAAGTGTTTATAAAATGTCTTCAGATAGTTTAAGTTCTGAGCAATTGGCATTTTTAGAGAAATGCAATTACGATTTTGCACATAGATTCACTGAAGCAGATACAGAATACATGAAAGTATATCATGAAGGAATACCAAATCCACCAATAATTAGCCCTTGGTATGGCAAAACCAGGTTCAACAGGCATCGAGGAGGACATGGAAGCAGACATCATCACAACAGAGATAATTACAACTATAATAAGAGGGACAATGATAGAGGTTACAACAACTATCATTAGATATTAATGTAAATAGACAAAAAAAATTAAATTTGTAAACATCAATCAATTTATTTCCTTAAAACAAATAAATAATAATAAACAAACATTCCAGTAATTTTATTTTTAAATCTTTGGGTATTAATATCATATATTAATTGGGCTAATCACCTTTTCTTAATATTGTTTCTAGTTTAAAAAGCCATCGCCAACCATCCTAGGATGAGTATAGTCCCACCTATTGGGGCCAACTTGCCAAATTTATTTTCACCTGTGTAGGCATGATAGTAACAGGGACCACTGAATAACACAGTCCCAGCAATAAGCAAGCTGCCACACTAAAACAACAATAGTTAATTTTTATTTACATACACATTGTTAAAAACTTGCAATTTTTGGAGATCTTGTCATTGGTACACCAATGAGTGCTAGGGTGTGGAAAAAGTGAATTTTGTTGGCGTTTTCATATATTCCCTTCAACTCAACAATTTGGTCCTTTGGGTATTTTTTGTGCGAGCCATATGCAGCCAAGGCCACTGCCAGAGCCCCAGAAAGGGCAGCTATTTTAATGAATGGACCAGACTGATTGGCTAGTTGCCACAGTGGTTCTGGCTTAGTAATGATTTGGACTGGTGCTTGTGATGACTGAAATCCAGTAGTTCCATTTAAAATTGGCTAATAAACGACAAATAATTATGCAATATTTTATAAATTACTTCATGATTATTAATGTTATATATTAACCTTCATGATGCTCTTAGTTGTATTCTGGATACTTTGAGAAATTGGATTCTCGTAGAGAACGTAGTTCATTGTCTCCGAGATGCCCATTGTAGATATTTATAAAACGGTAATTTCTTTATGGGAGTATGTACTGTTCGCGATTTTCTGATCTGATCTAAGTTTTTATGGGAAATTTTGCGCCGACACAATAACCGGAATTGATTTTTGTTGTTACAGTGCTACCAACCGTTAGAATTGCCAGAGGATGCATCTCATGCATCTGTAAACGAATCGCACACTTTACGGTTATAATCTTAACTACAAAATAAAAACTAACTAAATTATAGAATTATAGTTATCAAAATAATTGTTTCAAATGTTACACGGTTATAGTTATCAAGTTTTATCAGTGTACAGGTAATACATTCAAAGTTGGCGCTTAAAGTTGCGGAATCCGGAAGTAATTATCAAAATATATCGCGCGTTGTTTTTGGCCTAGTCTGCGGCTGTGTGCTGTGGAATAAACGCAATGCGAAATGGACTCAGTGTTGATTGTGTGAGAAATTCTGGTTTATCATCAATAAGTTTCCCTATATTATATTTTCCAATGACACTGGAGTAGAGACGGGTAGTCGGAACTTTTGTTTTGTTACAACAAAACAAACATAACCTACAAGAGGTTTTGACATTTAGCATATTTATCTATGGAGTGATGTAGAAGGAAATATTGTTCAGTTCGTTGTTAATTGGATCGGAACATTTATGTTCGGAATTGTTTATCCTTCTACAAGAGGTAAGATTGGATATTTTACTGGAATATCTTATTGAGCCTCTTTTATTTATATGCTGGTGTCTCCAATTAAAGGGACAATCACAAGTGGTGGTATTGAATGAATGTTTTGGCCAATAGCAATTCGCCTCTCCTGTTATCAACCAATAAGGTGCATTGTTGATGATCAAATTGTTAGAAAAAGGATAACTCAGAAATTTTCGCGCCAATAATTGATTGGTACCAATTTGACTGATTTTTATTGTCTTGAGTTTATTGCTTTTATTATTATTATTTTTTCTTCTTTTTTTTGTTCTGTTTTATATTCAAAATGAAATAGGGAGAAACAATGAGCATAACATAAGGGAGCGAGCTGAGGCGAAGATGTCCGATCATTTCTGTGAGCAAAATAACGCGAAATTATCAAATTCGGTGGAAAATTTGGAGTATTTTCAACAAGACATTGGTGATAGTATACGTGGGGAAGAAATAAATCATTCCTATGATCATATGTATGCTACGAACCACGAAGAAAATGGTATAACAGAAGAACCGCAAACGACCTGTCAAACGTCAGAAAGTGAGGTTAACTTTCTCAAAGAATTCTTGTTGATACATTTGGATTTAATCCAGCAACAGAATGATGACATTATAAATAAAGAAAATACTATTTTTATATTGCAGCAAGAGAATGCAAGGGTAAGTTTGGTAACACTTATATGAAAGAATATACAGTTCAAATCACAATTTAAATTTAAAATGTTGTCATAACAAACAATATCAAAACAAAACATTGTTGCTTGGTTACAGCTTCGTGAGCAATTGAATTGCATGGAAAGTGGACTTGCAGGTCAATCAAGTTCTAATTTTGAAATTACAAAGTCTCCTCACTCAAGCCCAGCTAGCTCCACAGAAGATATGACCCCAGACTTGGGTCCAATTGAAGAGCAAAATATAGAACTTGTACCACAAGTACCAGAACTATGTTTACCCTCTGAAACTGTAGATGAAGCCAAAGTATACAATGATATTTCTATAAATGATGATTCTCAAACACAGCCTGGTAAGTTAAATAGAAATTATTATTATAAAATAAATAAATTTTCATTTTAAATGTTAGTAGAATTGAATGTTAAGGAAGAACCAGATGAAGTAAATCCAGAAGTTACAGTTGTTGAACCAGAGATTGTAGTTTCTGAAGATACTGAAGAGGATAATAAACCACTTGCACAGAGAAGAGATAATTCTGAAAGTGGCAACCTGGCTAATTTTGCAGAAGCTAGTTATACTATACACTCAAATACAGTAACTAGTGGTGATCCAATGAAGAATTTAAAAATGAGCATTCGTCGGAAGAGATTTTATTCAAACTCTTCAGCAGTGTCCAATAATGATTCTGCATCAGAGGAAAAGAAAAATTGTAGACGACACTCGAGAAAAAGGCGGAAAAGTTTGTAAATTTCTAATTAGATTTTATACATTCATTATTAATTTCTCTCTTGTTTTAGGATCTATTGCGAAAAACGATGAATTTTTAACGAGTGATGAGCAATATGTAACGCAAGTTGGAGATGAATCTTTAGATATTATTCGACGCCAGGAATTAGCTGAAGAAGCTGCAAAAGCTGCAACATCAAACCTTGAGGTATTTACCAAAGTCTTATTTATGTTACTTATTCACTAAAATCATATTATTAGGTCCCGCGGTGGCGAGTGAAAGTTTATACAAGTTGCTATACAATGGAAGGAACTGAAAATTTGGAAGATGAGGCTTTTTTACGGAGACACACTAGATTAGAAAATGATGAGCGGAGAAGGAAACGGTATAATTTGAAAACTAGTATAATAGTTATTTATAAAGATCATTTTTAATTTTCTATTAAAGATGGGATGTCCAAAGGATACGAGAACAGAGGATAGTAGAAAAATTAAAACAAAGGCAAGATAGAATAGATGCCAATAATAGAGGATCCGAACAAACAGAGACCGTGGATTCCTTATGGCCGTGTATTGACGATATTAAATATATAGAATTATGTGATTCGCTTCCAGTGTCTGCATTTGGTTGCTTACTACCTAAATTACCTCCAAGGTATAATTTACTCATTCTGAAAATATTACCTTTATATATGAGTATTCTTTTTAGCGAATTTAGTTTACCTTGGCTAACAAATCCAGCAATAAAGAAAACAATAGCAAGAAAACAAAGTGGGCGACGAAGAGGTACCAAACGATAAGTATATTAGTTATTTATTTTATTACTAATCCTTCTCTCTTTCGGCAATGACAAATTTTCTCAATAAAGATCATATCAAAGTTCTTGTAAAACAGACCCAAAAAACAGATTTATGTTAAATACATCAGAATATTAAATTTATTTTAATGTTATTATTGTTTGCTAGCAATATTGAACACATTTCAAAGTTGTTAAATCATTTTATTTGTAATGTATCCTAGATAAAAAAACGCAATTTGATCTCTGAAACTTTTAATTAGTTGTTTTAAGCATCACACTTAACTAATGAATGTTTAATATACATATGCAGATGGGGAACTTGTATAGAATGTAAAATTTATTTTATTACCTTATGGACTGTTAACATTACCCTACGGACTGCACTAGTTAAGATTCAGATAATTTCTTTATAATTTTAGTGTCATCCTTCATCTGCATCTTATCTTCCTTAGATGCAGTACTTTGAATAGCAATTTACCAGTTTATAGAAGCGAAAGTGTTTGGATTATTTTCAAGAATATTTTATTTTTTTTTTCTTATATAATTCTCAATTCTTGAATACTTTACGAACTGATTTGTAATTTGTGATATTTAGTATAAAAACTCTAAATTAATGAGAATTTACATTGATATTATTAGGTAATTTCTGAAATTAGGTTAAGTTATTGTTTTCAATTTGATTCTAATTCTTGTCAAGACAATTTTATTTATTTTTTATGTCAAGTCTATGAGAATCTTGAAGACCAATATTTTTCTAGTCAATTTTGAAGTATTTGGGAAAAGAAAACCATTCCACTATTATTATGTGTTGTTTCTTATCATATTCGTCTTGAATAATCCAATAGCTTTTGCTACAAATCCATAAACCATTTGTGTCAATGTGATGTAGTTAATATTGAAATGGATAAATGTAAAGTAAGTTTTATTTTTTAAAATCTGTAAATATTAGTTCTTCATAAGGATAAAAATTATATAAAAATGTGTTATGAATATTGTAAAGAAATAATAAATAGTACATTCTAAATATAAGAGACTTGTTTAAAAGCATTTGCGATGGACGATGACCGGACCAGATTCCTCGTATTCCTGCTTTGAAATCCACATCTGCTGGAAAGTGGTCAAACTGGCCAAAATCGAACCGCCAATCCACACTGAATATTTTCTTTCAGGTGGTGCGATTATTTTGATTTTCATTGTGGATGGTGCAAGTGTTGCCATTTCCTTTTGTATTCTGTCTGCAATGCCTGGGAACATCGTGCTACCTCCCGAAAGAACCGTGTTTGCATACAGATCCTTCCTAATATCAACATCACACCTCATGATTGAGTTATACGTGGTTTCGTGTATACCCGGTGTTTCCATTCCCAACAAGGATGGCTGGAACATTGCCTCCGGACAACGGAACCTCTCATTGCCTATGGTAATCACTTGACCGTCTGGTAACTCGTAAGACTTTTCGTGGCAACTCGTAACGGCGGATTGGTTGAGTTCATGATCGAAGTCCAAAGCGACGAAGCAAATCTTTTCTTTGAGGTCTCGTATGATTTCCCGTTCTGCTGTTGTAGTAAAGCTGTAACCGCGCTCCGTCAAGATTTTCATTAAATAATCAGTTAAATCGCGGCCAGCGAGATCTAATCTTAAGATAGCATGCGGCAGTGCGTAGCCTTCGTAAATTGGAACCGTATGAGAAACGCCATCTCCAGAATCCATCACTATACCAGTTGTTCTTCCACTTGCGTAGAGCGACAGAACGGCTTGTATCGCGACGTACATTGCTGGGGAACCAAATGTTTCGAACATTATTTGAGTCATCTTTTCGCGATTCACTTTAGGATTCAGAGGGGCTTCGGTTAACAATACTGGATGTTCCTCGGGAGCGATACGTAGTTCGTTGTAAAACGTGTGATGCCAAATTTTCTCCATATCATCCCAATTACTCACAATACCGTGTTCGATAGGATATTTCACTGTTAAGACACCCCTTTTCGTTTGAGCTTCATCGCCTACGTACGAGTCTTTCTGTCCCATTCCCACCATAATTCCCTAATACATCAAACAGTAACTTTAGTTAATTGATATGTTTTTAAACTAGGTAATATTACTTGGTATCGAGGTCTTCCGACGATGCTAGGAAATACTGCTCTTGGAGCGTCATCTCCAGCAAATCCAGCTTTGCACATGCCGGATCCATTGTCTACAACTAAAGCGGCCAAATCGTCGTCGCACATTGTTAATTCTGCAAAAAAATGAGATTTTGTTATTATGCGCTTACTGAATCAAGACCGCAACAAATGATGATTGAACGCAACGATGATGTTGATGAGATAATAAGAATGGATTACAGTTAACGATAATTAAACGAAAATTTACTAATCAGCATTTTTTCATTGTTACTTCCTTAAAACCATCAATATCACCGACAATAGGAGCAATTAATTGAAATTTATTTCTAATTGAACTGTTTTCGGATATATGTATTATTTTACGAATTTAATTAAAATCTCCTTAATTTACTTTTCTTGGTCACTGGTTTTTATGATTTTGTAATTAAAGTTTGCCGCTCAATTACTATTCATGATCCACTCATCGGTTTCTTACCGTTAAGTTGTATTGTTATTTTCTGAACACAACCAAAGTCAAGACAAGACTTCTTTATATCAAGAGAGATAGATGGTCGGCTTTTGATCACTGCTAGTAGTTCACTGTCTTACAATCTCATTACAGTTTTCTTTTATACACCGAATGCCCCACCAGACCACGTCCAGTATTTTAATTATAAACTACATAAACTTGCTAATTGTAAAACGGTCATTTAATATATAAAATTCAGATTTTATTCGGTCATTTCAAAGAAACAATCCGTATGACTGACTTCTTTAATTAATTAATACTTTCCGATTTCGTAATACACCAATTATATTTAAATATTATTTTCAATTTAGTGCTTCTATATTATAATAGTAAAATTAGTATATACTAATTTTGATATTATATAACGTTAATAAGTTGCAAAATATAAAGAATCATCATTAATAGTAGTTCATTAATTATTCATATTTTTTCTAGATAATCAGACATGTTTGTAATTTTTCTTTGTTGGATTAATTAGTATTTATTAGTTTTGAATAAAATACATATTTATTGCTATTCTGTTAAGATTCTTTTTAATAGAGCAAGATATAAGATAATGTTATTCCATTCAGTGATGAATAACAAAATATTTGAATAATAAAGTACGAAATTTTATAAATTTCAAAAATTGGCATATGACTACGTTTCTTCACAAGATTTTGTTTTAATATCTTTACTTTACATAGCAAAACTAACAAATCCCGAAAAATTAGAACGTCTGGTCATTCTAATGTAAGTATTTATATTTGAGCTCTTACCTTTGATAATACATGCAATGCAGTTTTGTTATTACAAAGATCAATCAAGTACCAATATTAATTTTGTGACCGAAACATTGAAATAATTGTATAAATAAAGTGAAAAACTACAAATTATGTATAAAAAAATAATTTTGTGTACTAATTTGTTATAATTTCTTTTTATTTTGTTTTCAAACCGTACTATAGTGAAGCAGTACGAGGTATTGATGTATTCCTTAATGAGTAGTCTATAGGTATATTTGATTTATTTTAATAAAGAAATAGTCAATTGAAAATACATCAATATTTACTGTGCAATTAGTTTAAGTACCATTAAGTCAATTATATTTCTTCAGGCATCTTATCTTATTAATACGTAATCCGAACATTCATTATATGAACATATTGCAATTACTGAGGATTAGCGAAGCTTTACTTTCTTTAGTTCGTTTTATTTAAATCTAAGGATACAAAAAAATATAATTTATAACTGTATATTCCGTCTATGAACACTGTTAAAAGTGAAATCCCCATGATCAGTGCCCGTTACCAGAACAGACTTGAAAACCACCCCAACAGTCTCGCGTTATCCCTGCTAGATAATAGTGACACCCCTCATAGACTAAAGAGACAAAACACCCTCGACCCCTCCTTTAGAAACTAAAAGTTCGTTTCATTGTACATTAGAATGAATATTTTTTTCAAATTGATTTTTTCTTGTGTTGATATTGTCATTGAATTAATTTTTTAGTTAAATTTATATTGTTTATAGGAAGATTTCCGATGGGAAATCGTTCTGCTCCATGCTATTTATTTTGTTTTTTTTGAAAACCAATAATAAAACATGACTTAAATTGCAATTAATGAATAATTTTGTTTTTTGTTTTTTGTATTTTTATTATTTTTAGACCTTTAACCCTTTGAGACAGTTAAGTTTTATTTTATTTTTTGTTATTGTATTTAGAATTTTTTTTAAATTATGTAATTTATGCAATAAATTTAATCATTTTTATTGATCCCAATTTGGACCAAAGTGCTACGGACCGACGTCTTTAAATTAAGTTTTATACTCTTTATAATTAATGACAGTCGGGACGTCGGGGCAGGGGTTTATTTTTTAAGTACAAAAGTGGGGTCGCGGACCAAAAAGTTTGAGAAACACTGCTCTAATATGTATTATAAATTACCACAATTCATTGAATATTTTAGTAAATTATATAACTGTTTATTAAATCAATACAGTAAAAAGTAAAATAAACAGATAAAAACGTCATCTAGATGATTTTAAGATTAAATTTTGATGAAATAAATTGTTGAAATAAAAGTATTTCACAGAACAAGTATTGTCAAGTTTTTTTTTTGATGAATTTAACGATTAGATTTTTTTGTTCATCTTCTCGTAACGATTAGTTCAACTTTTTATATTTTCAATAGAACATTTTGGTTATAATATTATATAAAAAAGTCAGCTCACATATCCAATGTTTCTTTATTAAATAAATCTACCACTTTTCATGATGCGGTAATCCGTGCCTTAATATATCGGATTATTTTTAGGACCTAAATTAAAATCGTAAAAAAATACAATTTAACTTTTCAACACATTATGCGAGGTATTAATCGATATATGCAGTTACTGTGAATGGATGTAGTATGTTGAAAGAGCTTATGCAGTATGCAACTCAAACTATATAAAAATGTAATTTGTACCATAAATAAAACGTATGAACTTGAATGGATGTAAATTGTAATAAAATGTAGATATTTACAACAAAGCATTTAAAGAAATTAATGTACCTTTCTTTGTACCATTTGTTTTTGGTATCAGTGAAATTGCGAGTGCTACTAGTGAAAATGAAAATTATGCTGTGAAAGTTTATATTTATTAATTAACTTTAAAACACTTGTATTTTGCTTGAAACAAAATATTGCATGTAAATTTATTTAGTTTACTTAATAAATAATGCTTCATATTATATATATATAATATTAACAGTAATTGAGGATATATAATTATAATTTTATTATTGTAGTTTTATTTTTAGTCGCAGAAAACAATTTGTATTATCTATGGAAATTATGAAATTAAAACATTATATTATTTTAGATTGTAAATGATATATTAATTCAATTTTTGATTCTAAATGATCTAGAAATTGTTACCCTAAAGCAAGTATATGTTATTCTCCCTAATTTTACATCTGGGAATTTCTTATGGAATTTGTTTAATTGATGTGTAATTGGGTGTGCATTTGTTGTACACATGCCGAAAGTAGTGTTTTGACCGAGCAAAAATTATTTCATTTTATTCTGGAAACCACAGCAGATGAATAAAAAACGTTAGAGTATGTACGCAAGTGGAGCGTTTACTTGAACATGCGCTCATTAGATTAAACCAGAATTAAAAATATTACACTATCTAATTACCATTAATTATACTTACAAAATAAGGAACGGTGCATACGCATGTTTCTCAATACACGTTCTCTTTTTTTTTTGTTTCGTCTAAAAGCAAAGAAAAATATTGCAGGGGGATTCGAAAAAATATATAGAATCTGATGAAAGCTTTGCTGTATCGATTAGATATAATCGTACAAGAAGAACGTGATTTGCGTGTGTTAATTGGCATGATTTATGTGCTTTTCATTTTCGATTAGAGCACGCTAAGTGTCTTTAGGATTTGCGTGCTGATGTTTGTCACAGCTCGATTCTATTTTAGTGGGAACTCGAACTTTCGACAAATGTGAAATTAAATAAAGTACTTAACGGAAATACATGCAGACACGGAACAATTGGAGCGTCTGCATTACAAGACGTATATCAATGTCAGCATGTAGATTATTTTGTGTTTTATTTTATACAATTTCTACTTTGTATGAATGATTATGAATTTTAATACTGACATACATTGCAGGATTTGTTTTGCTCAAGATTTCGTTCATTGGGATTATATTATAGATTGAAACCTATTAAATTATTAATCCAATAAATTATGAAATAAAACAATATTTATTATTCAGCGTACTTTGATAGATAATTTTCTAAAGTATTTAGACTAGAATCGTTGAATTGTTTCGTTATTTGGTGCTTTTGCTGTTTACCAAAATTGAACATGCATTTTTCTTTTTAAAATTAGTTCTGGTCATTGCAGTGGTACTTGACGGCTTCGGAACTTGACACCCCCTTCTTACTATGAACATGAGTATGCATGATTTACTGCAATGAATTAGTTTCTTTTTGAGTTTGATGGAGGTACGCGGTACGTTTTTTTACACGCCCGAAATGGAAAATATTACAATTTTTGCAAATTGTATGGCGTTTCTTAGATGCAAACAAAATTGATTTGAATATATATGTTTGAATAAGCACAGACGGAGCAAAATATATGGTCGGAATTAATAAAGGACCCGTTGTAAGAATTCAGAATATTGTCCCAAATCTCATATCCACACATTGTTGCATTGACAGAGAGGCTTTGGCAATACGTAAGATGACCGCTGATCTACAAAAAGTTCAGGATGAAAGCGTGAAAATTATTAACTACATGAAATGCCGTCCTTTGAATGCACAGCTTCTTTTTCATACCGATGTTCGTTGGCTATTTGTGGCAAAATAAAGTTGCTAATGGAGAAGTGGACTCGTTTTCCTATCTTCATGAGTTTATAACAATTTCAGCTGGTAAAATTGATCCTGATACTCCTGATAACACAGCATTTAGAGAATTTACAAGTGGGCCTGAAAAACTATTTTCCTGATTTAAACAAAAATATTGTATGGATAAATTATCCATTCGACATTAATTAAAGTAATGATTTTTTTTGACGAGTACCCCGAGTCAAAAAAAATCATCCTTACGAAAATTATAGTGTTTGAAAAACACTGTTATAAAGACACATTAGTGTACAATTTGTCGAGTAAAATTGTATACATTTATATTATTCTAAATATTCTTTTTTTTTTTCTTCCTCCTACTTCTTCCCTTTAGGAAGAGCCTCTAGCATTTAGCTACGTTAATATTCATTTGATACTCGTTAATTTTCATTCAAGTCCAAACCGATATTATCGGTCTTCATAAAAATCATTAATAACATCCACAACTGCAATATTTCCTAGTACTAGTAAAGAATCAATCAATCAATTTCGGTAATCTACTATATTACTAGAACGAAATCTTCCCTTTTAAGTCAACATTTAAATATTTTAATAAATTTTGATATAACTTTGTACGAATATTCTTCGTTAGAAAATTAGATTTTTACAATATATATACTCCACTCAATTATCATAAATAATTACAACAAACATATTTATAATTATTGGGCTAGCCCAAGGGTGGCAACCCGGAGCGACTCTTTGAATACGTAATTGCGGCTTTTTTCGTTTATTCGGTCGACCCATGTTATTCATCACTGCGTGCGGCTCTAAATATTTGTTGATCAACCATAATCTTAAAAAGATTGCCGATTCCAATGAACCATACAAACTACTTAGGATTAACCATTGATTAGAGATTTAATAACATTAATTTTTGATTTCCTTTATTCTTATAGAAGAGCGAAACGTAATTGATTCACAGACAAAAGTTTCATATAAATTCAGTACTAGATTTCTAATTAATTTTGTAACATGTAGTTATACTTTCAACCAGTAGTAGTAGTTGTATATTTGTCCAATTAAATACAAATATTTTATAATCTACAACATGCTGTCAATGAGTTGTGAATTGACAAATATAATTTTGTATTATTCAACTTCGTTACCTATGAAACTGATTGAATAAATTTAAATTATGTAATTTACATAATTTAAATTTATAGAAGATAGCCAACAGATTTATTAAAAAAAAACATTTTATATAATATATCAAATGTTAAATATTTTTTAAATATTTGATATTTCATGAATGGTCTATGTTAAGATTTAAATTAGATCATCTTTGATACACAATTCTATAAAACATGGAGATTTATAAAAATGTTAATTATAGGGAAAATACAATGAAATATTGCTAATTCATTAGAAACTTTTTATTTAGAAAACATAATTCGACTTGGATGAAGTCTTTTACAAAGATACAAATATAATTATTTTTTTTTATAGAGTACGATTGGATAATACGATGCAAATTTTGGAAAATTGTCTTCACACTTCCATACACATTTTCTTTTCCGATACTACACTCCCACATCAATCCGGTGAAAAAATAAAGTCATCTAATATACGATTCCTTTTTTTTGGTAAGAATAGATATTTATTACTTTATCAACAGTACACAAAAAAAATACAATTGCAATCCATTCAAATGGTCAAAATTACAATAATTTATAGAAACCTATATGTTCTTTAGAAACAATTACTGCAACAAAAATCATAAGAAAATGGAAAAATAAAGTAATCACCAATTATAAGTATATTAATTAAACACCCACATAAAAAATCAAAGGCTGAACACTGTTGAAAAAAGCTAAGTTATGATAACAAATCTTGAAAATACCCATCCTTAGAGATTTTTCCTCCGGAAAATTCACGATTTTGCGTATTTTTTTGGTTTAATTTTGTTTTTTTTTTGACGAATTAAAAAAAATCAAATCTTTTGATACTCTCTTTTTTTATACTTTTTCTTTTTAATATTATGTTTTTTTTCTTCTTTTCTTCTTGCTTTTTTATACCACTCGAGATCTAAGCTGTACTCTCGGTGGTTGTATTCTGCACAGGCTGGCTCTCCTAGAATTACAAAAATTATAATTAATATTTTTGCTACTTCCAAATAGAATAGGATATAAGTTAATATTTGCAGGAACGAAGTAAGAGTACAAACAATACTACGGGAAAATAAAGCAATAAATGCAAGGACGGGAATTACTTACTTCCGTTTTGATAGTTCCTGTGGCATTTTCAGCCTGTAATATAGATAAGACAAGAAGTCAGAAATGTGTGCAAATTAAACTAATTTATTAAAAAAATGGTTAGTGTCAACCATATGAATATTAACGATGATGGTTATATCAATATTATTATTACTTTTCAATTAATGTATGAATTGTGAATTGAAGGTGAAAAATTACATTTCAAGTTGATATGTAATTTTTTTGTGATATAAGCTTATAAATAGTGCCAAGCACTAATAACAGGAATTAAATCTATATTAAATGTTCCCCACTTATCTACAGTTTCAGAAGCATCAAAAAAAAATAATTTTCATTAATTCAAATGCAAATGAAATATCTGCAAACAAGCGGAGGTATCTTTTTCTTGCACACTTATGACTCAAGCGTTTCCCATAGATTATCGGAGACGGATCTAAGGAGCGTGCGTGAGTTTTGATGTAATAACAATTTGATTTGTGATAACATAAAACAATTATAAACATCTACGAAAGTAATTGACCTTGGAGTGTTAGTAACTAATGAAGATGTTCAAATTGTAGACATAAAAGAGTGAAAGGATTAAGCGATTAATGGATTGAAGAATAATCTAACACAATAGAAAATATGATGCAATACAAATAATTGAGTGGTAAAAAATGACATGCAGCTGTGATGAAAACGTAAATACCTTGTTTGCGGAATCAGATTGGGAGTTATCTGTGCGAGAACGTCCAGCTCCGCGTCTGCGGAAGCGGGGTCGCGGTTGTCCACGAGGTCCCTCTTCACCACTTTGCTCCGCTGGACCACCTTCTTGAGAGCGGGGTCTGCGGCCACCGCCTCTTCCTCCGCGGAAGTTTCTGCGGAAGAAGCGACGGGGTGGACCTCCACGGCCTCTGGTGTTGTTCTCACCATCGCCAACTTCTTCTTCGCCGCCTTGGGGCGGTGGTCCGCCGCGGTAAGGTCCACGGTAGTATCCTCCGTATACACCGCGTCCACGCCTAGGCCGATAACGGCGTCCTGGCCCACCTTCTTGGCCGTCACCGCCCGAACCGGACCCCTCTTTGCCTTCACCGTCTATAATTCAGAGAGACATTACATAACAAATCTGAAAAGTTTTTCAGATAGCACATACCAGTTTGGTTATCCCTTGGACGTCCACGTCCTCTGCCGCCACCGCGACCTCTTGGATAGAACCATTGACGGTAGCCGCGCCTACGGTCGGCCGCGTAAGGGGAGCCTCTCACTGGTTCTCCATCTGGGCCTGTCACATTAGCGGCCTCATTTCCTTTCTCCCCTACGACTACGCTGAATTCAACGACTTCTCCGTCGCCTACTGATCGCACCGCTTTTCTGGGATTGTTTTTCACTATAGCTGACTATAAGAATAAAAATATGCGTCAATTATACATATTTTTAATAGCATATTATAAAGCGAGGAATAATTTCGAAAGAATTAAGTCAGTAAATACAAGTTTACATGTTGTTTTAGACGGAAAGACATAGACCAATAAAAATGTGTAAATAAAAAAAAAATAGGTAGTCATTTTAAAATTTAAATACATGTAAATTATTCCGTTGACGGTCAATAGCCTTTTATAAATATGTAAACATATATGTAATAAATTATGTTTATTATTAAATATTGTATGACGGTTTTTAGTCAACAGACTTCTTTATTTTAAATATTGATATTATAATAGTATATAGCAGTAACCGTATGTACTTTTAATAATACAAATAGTATTTCTCCTACTAGTTTTATTTTATTTGTCCCATTTGTATTGTTTTCGAGATAAAATGAATGTAAAAGCTTGAAAAAATGAATGTTCCCCATTTATCTGCATGTTCAAACGCGCTATGGTAATAATTAATTTTCATTAATCCAAGTGCACCTGAAATAACTGCAGACAAACGGAGGTATCGTATTCTTGCACACTTATGACTCAAGCGTTTCCTAGAGAATACGGGAAACGGATCTAAGGAGCGTGCGTGAAGATTTTGAATGTTTGATAACAGAGTTATCATGAAATTGCTAACAAAGCACTTTCAAAACATATTATGCAATATAATATAATAAACATCTTAATAATTTGAACTTTATCTTATATAACTTACTTGATGAACGAACACATCTTCCTTGGTGTCATTCCTATAATAAAAAGAAAATACGCATTAATGATTGAAGTAAAATTTAAATTCATTCAGGTTATTATTTGCATAACACAAACAAATAAACAAAATGTTGAATCATGATTACAAAGTATAAATAAATAACTAAAGAACTAACAGAAAAACAAACTCTAATCTGATTTGAGTACTGTGCAGCAATAATGCAACACATTAAGAACAACATCGTAAATTTCATCACAACATTGATACAAGATAAGTTTCTTAATAATCTATGAAAGTAAATAACTGAACTTACCTATTGATAAACCCATATCCACTTTTTACGTTAAACCATTTTACGGTGCCGGTAACCTTGCTAGCTATAAATAAAATTAAAAAAGATTAATATTTTATTTAGATACACAATTTTAAAATATATATTACAATGCGCGGTTCGATTCAATTTGGCGCAATGCACATTTTTGTATCTAGAAGTGTATCCTTACTATTGAATAAGTCTCTTATTTTCCAAATTTGTTATGTAAACTTAACATTATCAGTTCGTTAAACGCGACAAACTCGGTTACCAAACTGTGGATGGAGATTACGCAATAGAACCAATATTAGCTCGCGTCGTGTAGTAAGAAACGTGTATATATTTATGTTTGTTTCGAATTGAAACTGGTTTAAAAATGATTTAAAAGAAATGGACAAGACGAACAGATCACTTCACGAACCAGAAAATCTATTCCGGATTGTACTAATCTTCGTATAATTATAAAATGGGTTCATCTACAAATAAACGTCTATTAATAGACATGAAATAGGAAGAGTCGCACGTCGAATAAATAAGGCTAATGTGTGGTGAATAATAAAGGAACACGAAGAATACCAAACAATTAATAATTCATTGAGCACACCAATTTGGCCGGTGTCATTGAAAATATTACGAAGTGCATCGAATAAGTAATAAATTTAATAAAAAAAATAGCAAAACAACGACTTTCGATTTCGTAAGCTTACTAATTTTACTACGATTACATAATATTTCGCGCCTACAAAAGGAACGCAACGTTGATTTGACCGATCGGCGTTACTTTTCAATTGTTGACCTTTTTTCGCTACCCACTTCAATGGAGTTGCGGAGATGCCTAGCTAGGCCAGATTAATTAGTCAGTTTACGTGTAGCCTTCGTTATAGAACAAGGCAAATGGTTCCTTGAATTACGAGCATAGGTAATTTATAAACAAAGGATTACAATCAGCCGAAGAACAGGATGCAATTAGATGCAGATGTAATTATGAGAACAATTGAAGACGAAATAAATAGTTAGGAATGGCAGCGGAACGAAACCAATACACAGTTGGACTAGTTCTAATTGGAACGACTGTTTTTTTTTATTTGTAACGATAAAACAACGAACAAACGCAATTTATTATGATACACGTTGATTGGAAATAAAAAAAATAGAATAATATCTGTTCTATGAAGTCATAATATTAGTTTAAAAAATAATTATTTGATTGATTGAAGAAGAAGAATATTGATGCATTTTCTACGTGGTTATAAATGTTTTTAACATTAATTATACTTTCTTCTTGACATTAACAACTGTGACATCTTTTAAGTTTATTTAAATAATAGAGGAGAAATGTTTGAATGCAAAAAAGTATACGAAATGTTCAATGATTAATTTTGTAAATGCGTAAAAGGCTTTTATCGTTGATGAAAAATAGTTATTTCTAATGAATAGAATGTTGTTGCTTGAAGATTAGAATATTTATTGAAATACTTGATAATGCCTGTTAAATGCTTCATGGTTTTAAATGGAATAGTGATTTTACTGATAAAAGAAAAAAAAAACAAATAAAATAAAGCGGAATGGCGGCTTCAGAGCATGCTAGGCGTTTGTTTGGATGCTATGAGGGAGAGATGCAACGCTTGGGGGGCGAGAAGGAATCCAATTGGACTGAAGATGTGATTTATCAATGAGCTATGTCTAGTTTACGGTATTTGCGGCGCGTTATGCAAATGATTGGGAATTGTTTATGATGGTTTTTAAACCATGTGCTTGGCCGCATTGAAGAACATGGACGCCGGGTGGCGGGCTACAAAATGACGGATCGCGCGGAGACAGCCATCAAAGTTCGGCTCCAAAAAAAAAAATGACAAAAACGCAAGGATTCCGTTTACGGTCGTCCTTACGCTTTCGTAGGGTTTTCTTACCGATAATATGCTTTTGCACGGTCGCCTTCGGTTGTTCTGGCGCCTGTTCCGGTTCAGCCATGGTGTTAAGGGCCGGTGGGAAGATGTTGTCACTCCGCTACCTCCGAGATGTTAACTTCCGTCCTGCTGTTTCAGTTGTTGTCCGCACAACGATCTCGCGCTCCCCTTTATAGAATTGCCAACCTATCGCAACAAACTACGTCATTCTAAGTCTATCACCATCACCCTTTCACACAAACCAATAACGATGATATGACGTACTTCTTTGATACATCCATCCGAACTTTCACCGCGCAAGTCATTTAATGAAAAACAATGGCCGTTTATCGGAAATGCAAGTTACAAACCGCGCCAAATATTTGAAATTTTAGTGATTTTTCCTCAACAAATTGATCTATTCCAGTACTGATTCACATTAAATGGAATGAAATCACTAGAAATTACTCAATTAATTTGATATATATAAAAAATCTACATCATTTTATTCAATATTCGATTATTATCGGAGACAATTTATTAGACCGCATAACATTTAAACCAAACAATTTAATTAATTACATAATTCCTTTTAAAATAGCATTTATTATTCATATTCATTCAACGTTGGACAAGGTTTCCATAAAACCAAACCTCGTGTTGCCCTTCGGCACCCAGCGTAGATTCTAATAAAAAATATGTACTCATGTAACGCAAAAATGCCGCACCGACGGAAGCATTCCATAAGAAGTTATTTATAGATCAGGTTAAAATTTCGAATCACCTGTGACGCATAATATTGAGGTTTATTAATATTGGGAATCGATAGCATAATTAACATTCGTCTGGTCGGAGAAGAAAGGGCTAGATTTGGGAGAGGGAAGGCAGCATCCAACAATGCATTTTGGGGGGAGGAGTGATATCGCGTGTTTATGTTTTGACGAATTATGCAAAACATTATTTGTATTTGCGTAAGCGAAAATTCGGTTCGGATTTTGCGGAAATCTACAGCGATATCCGAGAATAGCTTTAAAAACTGATATCGAGCATAGTTCATGCATTTTTTTTGCATCAATATGGATGTTCCGAGAATTTAACGTTTGAAAAAGCTGCTAAAAATTTTTAAAAACATTTCTGAATAGAAATTGTAGACATTTTTTAACAAGGTTTCGTGCACGGAATGTATTTTATTGGCTGCTTTAACTTATAGCTATAGTTTATAGCATTTTGTCACGTTATTTTAGGGGAGTTCTGTCTTTATATACCGAAATGTTTTAGATTGTTAATTAATTGTATTTAAGTCAACTGTGTATTTGTTTGCTACATATACGATTTATTATACTAGTTATTTCCAGAAATATTGCGAATTAAGGCAATTTTATGTTTAGGTACACAACTTGGTGGAATAGTATATAGATAAGTTATTTTCAACTTTTTTTCAAAGAAATAAAAAAAAAATCATGGTTTTATGTGTATCTATTTAATATTCTAAATAGATATATTTTATGTTTAAATTATTGTACAAACTTATTTAATCACATTGCAATAAGATATTTTAAATACCATAATTATTAGTATATATTTCATCACCTTAGAAAATTTTAAAATTATATAGGATGAATCCAAATTTTGTAGACTTCGTCATACAAGTGATAAAAATGAAAGAAATATACATTTTCTTATAATCATTTGTTACCGTAATTTCAAAAATCATTTATATTGAATAATAATTTGTATTGATAGCAAATAATAAATTATGAAGACTTAAGAGAATTTCGATATACTTTTTTCATATAAATAAATGTAAGAGATTTGAGCCAGTAGCGAATTAATTTAAAACAACCATGCAGATTCCCGAGGGAACGGATAATCATCAATTTATGAATCAAATCCAATCAAAATTCCCATTCAATATTAATAATTAACTTTAGAAGTAAAATCAGTCTTTTAGAATTAGTCTCAGTTGAAATTTTAAACGAGAAATATTTGAATTTAATTATATTCCTAACTACTGACAACGCCAGAAAACATTTCAAAATGACCATATTTTCCTCCCTTGGTCACGACAGTAGTTAAACTAGAAACTTGCTCCAATTGAACAAATAGCCTATATAATGCTAGATAATTAACAAAACATAAATAAACTAACATTTATTATACAAAAATTTACTTCTCTATAAAAAATGAGTGTTTTCTCGAAACCATATTCCGTTTTATCTGAACTCTAAAGCAAAATTTTATTGGTCTTGAAGTTGAACCTTTGATACTAACGTACTTCAATCCCCACATAGTTATTTTGTCTGCCCTTTTCTTTGTTCTGTTCCCGCTTTGACCCTTGACCAAAGACTGACCTCGTTCAAATATAACTGGTTCTTCCAGGTCATGTAATGTTGCAGCCACCCGTGAAGATCATGTCCACAATGATTTGCTTCATGATTTGAAAAAAAATATTTGTGTAGCTTTAAAATTACGTAGAATATAATTTTACGTTTAAAACTGCATTGTGTATATTATGCGCAGTTAACGAACAAGTGAATTGAAATTTACTTTGTACAAGTTTAACATAAAGTATAATTATTATTAAAATAAACTTATTTATTTATGTGTTGTCTTATAAGTACAATTTACAATAGGTATATTACTTCATTGTTTTTGTTTAAATATAAATATAAGGAAATATAACACATTATTCAACGGCGATAAGAACTCTTCAATTATTTTCCAGAATATATGTGTTTACTGCAAAATTGTAAATAGAACAATGAATGTCTATTGACAATACACATATTTTCACTTAGATAGAAAACTATTAGACTTCTTTAATAGATTTGAATTTAATGAAGTAGATGTATATAATATTCTGAAACTGAAATATTGATTTAAAATTAATTCATAAATAATAATATGTACAGAAATTAAATGCCAATAATTATTTATTTTGCTATTTTTATCACAAATTGATGATTATCAACCAACAAAATTTATTAAATTAATCATTTAACATTTGTATAGTTTGTAGCCTACATAAAAGAAATACTGACTTGTTGTTATGCAACCGGTGATATCCTCAACACCGGTCAATAACCAAAGTGAACTAAATTTCTTGTTTACTAGTTTTGACAAGTACAATTCACAGTTTTCCCCAATTGTGTTGGTTTGCAGATATGTACTATAGTTAGAAGTATGTTTAATGGCTTGAAATGGTTAGTTTTCACTTTATTTTCTTTTTTATATGAGCAATATCAAATATTTTCTTTGTAGGAGCGAAAACATCAATATTTTGTGGTCACAAGTTTGGTTTTCATCAATTATTTTAACACTTTGTTTGGCACATTTGTGTTCGATGATAGTGAGGCAATAGTTAAAAACAAAGATGTTATGCCTCAAACACCAATCCTCCAATTGTTCCAGAATGATTTCTGGGGCACAAATATTTCGCTAAATTCAAGCCATAAATCCTACAGACCTCTAACAATTATGACATACAGGTAAACATTGCATTTTCAATTCAGGTATTTAGTTTATCATCTGTGATTTTAGGATAAATGTACTGTTATCAAATAATAAGTTGAATGCCTACCAATTCCATACAACGAATATAATCTTATATGCAATACTTTGTCTAATGCTCTTACCAATCTTTAAAACTCTCACTGCTGGCAGCAGAAAAGTTTTATTTGATGTACCTTTTCTGTCAACAATTTTATTTACTGTGCATCCAATTCATACAGAGGTGGTTGCTGGACTAGTTGGAAGAGCTGATATTCTAAGCTCAATTTTATTTTTTACAACCCTCATCTTTTACAAGAGGCTGCTCAAGAACAACTCATTGGCTTTATTCTTAATTATTTCAATATTAGTAACTGCAGCAGTGCTTTGTAAAGAGACTGCAATAACAGTGCTAGGCTTTTGCATAGTATATGATTTTTTCCATACAACTGGCTCAATTAAGGATGTTATAAACAACAAAAGTTTCCTGTACAGATTATTAGGTTTAGTAACGTTGGGAATTCTTATAATGTATTTTCGTTTATCTGTGATGAATTTCCAAGGGCCAATTTTTACGAAAATTGATAACCCTGCAGCATACACCAATGATACATTTTCAAAGGTATATGTATATAAAGAAAAATGGTTTAAATATAATATTAATATATTTTTTATATTATAGATATTCACGTACAATTATATATATTTTCTGAACATACTTCTACTGTTGTGGCCCCAATGGTTGTGTTTTGATTGGGCAATGGGTTGTATCCCACTAATTGAAAGTATTTGTGATATTAGGGTTTTTTTTATTTTCATCCTGTGGATATTTGTCTTCACTGGAATTTATATAGTCTTAAAAAAGGATTCTTATAACAAATACAGGTAATGTCTACAAAAATGGTAGTTAGGAAAAATTTTCAATTTGATTGTTCACAGAGTACCTACAATTATGGGGGCTGCTTTAATAGTTCTACCATTCATACCGGCATCCAATTTATTCGTAAAGGTCGGATTTGTGATTGCAGAAAGGACTTTGTTGTTGCCAAGTGCGGGATTTTGCTTACTTGTTGTTATTGGTTTCACAAAACTGATAGGAGGAATGAAAAACAACAAAGTATATTTTATTAAACAAACTAGATAGACACATTTGAAATCACATATATTTTTACGTTTTGTTTTAGATTGCATACGGAATATTTTATTTGATCTGTGCATTGCTTTCCATGCGGACAGTCCAACGAAACTTCGATTGGTTAAGTGAGGAGAGGTTGTTCAATTCAGCTTTGAACGTTTGCCCTTTAAATGCCAAAGTCCATTATAATGTTGCCAAAGTAGCTGCAGATAGGCACAACAAAATACTGGCGATTACCGAATATGAAAAGGCGATCGAGTTGAACCCTAACTATGAACAGGCTATGAATAATTTGGCTAATCTATTGAGGGAAGATAAGAAATTTGAAGATGCCGAAGTTCTATTACGAAAAGCTGTTAAAGTTAGGTAGCTCTGAATTCAGTAAATGGGTGAAGACGTTTTTAATTATAACAAAAATATTTAAGGCCGAATTTTGCTGCAGCATGGATGAATTTGGGAATAGTGTTGACAAATTTAAATCACACCAAAGAAGCTGAACAATGCTTTTTGAAAGCAATAACGTTCCGACCAAAGTATCCAGATTGTTACTATAATTTAGGAAATTTGGTAAATATCTAGAAGCTTGATGTAATAAGAATATTACAATTTTCGTATTTCAGTATTTAGATTTGAAACGTATGGAGGAAGCTTTGAAAGCGTGGGAGAAGGCAGTATTTTATCGTCCTACTCATACTGCAGCTTGGAGTAATACACTCGTACTTCTCGATAGTTTAAACAAATATGAGAGGGTGTTGAAATTAGGAAGGACTGCTCTAATGCATAATCCAAAGTCTCCGGCGCTACATTTCAGCCTAGCGAATACTTTGGGAAAATTGCAGAAATTTGAAAACGCCGAAAAACATTTTCTCGAGGCTCTTAATTTCAATCCATACAATGCTCTATATTACAGCAATTTAGGTAAAATTCTTTGGAAAAGCATCTATTATCAAAATGTATTAACTGTAATTGATTTAAGGTGTTTTATATCATCGTTGGGGCAAGACTGAGAAAGCGCGTGAAATGTACAAACGAGCTCTGCAAATCGATCCCAAGATGAAAACCACCGAGAATAATCTCAAAAAATTGATGAATGCTCAAAATGATACCATATAAGTATGTCTAGTATTATTGTAATTTATTTCTTATTTATTTGAACTAAAAATTGTAACATTCCACCTGTTTTAAAGCAATAAAGACGGGAATAGAGTAAAGGACATTTTATTTTAGTATACAATGTACGTGTCACATTTAAAATTACAACTTTTAGAATACTTAAAATACTCAAGTTTAAAACACACAAAGCCAACTAAACGAACTAAAACATAACGAAAATAATATCACAATGTATAATCGATGCCAAAAATATTAAACAACTAAACTCGAGGCCATTTATAATATATTATAGTATAAATATTCATCTTAGTACAAAGATAAAATACATAGTAATACTGTGCGGAAGTAGTTAGTACTTAGTTTCTACACATTAAAACTCTAATCCATAAATATATGTTATATACTGCCAATAAATATATTTCATTTTGTTGTTTTTGCATATTCATCAACATTTTTTTTTGTACTAGTTTATGATGATTAGTATACATTAACTCATCATCATAAGACATAATCTCATAGTTCAAGACAAGTTTCTAAAGAGTAAATCCACACAACTTGAGCACTCAAATAATTCATCCATTTAAAAGCCTATGCTTTGAGCATGTTATGCTCCAGATGTGTGTGATCTAAGAAAACACGGAGATACATTCTGTTCCTCAATTGTTATACAATAAAAAAACAAACAATTAAAGCTCCCGACCGGCAAGTCAATGCTTCTTAAGTAAATTATAAAAAATATATTTGTATTGTGTTTCCCTTAAAGAGATTTTGCCACGGCAAGCATCACGTCGACTTTCAACAATACAAACATCTCAACTCGCTGCATTGTTTTGCCCGCCTTGTTTGCTCGGCCCCGCCCCCTCTGGTGTTTTGGGGGCGTTATACGAAGAAGTCGATGCCTCGTCACGTGTCGAAAGGGCCTGTAGACGTGCGGGTAAGTCTGCAGACGTGACAACCGCATGCTCGCTCAAAATATCAGGCAGAGCATTCCTGCGACCTGTACGACCAGAAGTCAAAAATTCTTGACTGTGCGAGTTTACGGGCTCACCCGGTACTACTCCCTGCTGCCTCTCCATCACTGCTAGCATCTTTAATACTACAATCAAAACAAAAACATTTTACTTTTAGCCAAGATATATTGATCAAATTCATTGCTGAACTTCATAACTTATTTAAACCAGTTATGAATCAATATAATGTAGTACATTCAGAAGCAACCTTCAAACTTTATTGGAAAAATATTCCCCCATTTCTAATTTTATCACACAGCTATTTCATCTTATCTAATCTCATTTGCATGAAATATTGAAACATGTGTGTTGCTCTAATTAGTATTTGATAGCACCTCAATAAAGTCATATATTATTAATATTAAAAATTAATAAAAAAGACATGCAGATATAAATAAAAGAGAAAGTGTTAGTTTTTCATGTTGCTCTTTTGATTCCCTTTTTCTTTTCTGGTGCATGCTTGACTAAAGCCTTGACCAAGCCATGCCAGTCATAATAGCATACCTTTTATTCTCTTAAATTTCCTTGATTTGTTTCTCAGACTTTTGGGCTTTGATGTAGGACACAAATTACTGTTTTCTGGCATATTTATATACTTAACTAACTTAAAAACAATTAAGGTATTCAACGTTCTAAATAGAGGACAGATTAAATAATATTGAAATACAACACACACATTTTACCTACCATTCAGAGCAAAGAGGTTGTATTGGGTTGTATGACAACCTCGAATTTACTGTTACTCGTATTCCGTGTAGATCAAACTTGTTTTTTGTATTTTGTAGTATGCGTCACAATCATTGAAATAATCAGAAAAATTACATAAACTTTTTTTAATTGGTTTACTTATTCACGATGTCCACACCGATTTGACGTTTTCAACGTCAATCGTTGAATGGATTAATCCAACTACGACCTCTTTTAGCATAAATATGTAACTAGCAGAAGACTATAGGCAACTCTATATTAATTTATTTAAAAATTCGTCTATTTTGATTGACGACAGTTAATTCAATAGAGAAACACATTCACACACACACATCAACAAATTCATTGATACATTTTGTATTATATGTTTAATGATGATTTTATAATATTTATACATAATCTTGGTAATGATTTTCAATTAATATAAATTATATTATATAATAGGTATTATTTTAAACAATAAATGTAAAGCTTTTATAATTTCTATTATTAATAAATATATTATACAAAAATTTAACAAAACTCCTGATTATTTTAATAATGTTGTTTGTTGTCTCAGCTTAGAATATTTCAAGTACAAATAATATAAATTAAATCTTTTAATCTATCAAGTTTCTTGAGAACCGTATGCAGAATTTAATGATTAAAGAAATATAACAAAATATTTAATTTTATGTAAATATTTTCCCCAAATATAATTAAAAATACTTAAATCCAACATTAATTAAGTGTTTCTTCTGTATAATCGTGTGACAATTTCTATTTTTTAAGTTTAACAACTAAGCCTATCGACCGAGCTATTCAACTGTCGTACATTGTATGCGCATGTGTTTCTACAAGCTGTGCTGCGTAATTTCATAGTTTTCTTTAACACAGTCAAATGTTAAAAGTATAATTTAATCTCGAGGAATTGAATGTTACAAGTTTACAATTTTATTAAATGCATATATTTATTAGCGCTTGTGTCAACAATTATAGATCGGTCACTCCCTGTTGTTAAATGTGGTGTCAGTTTTTATAAATGTTAGGTAATATTTTATTATTCTTAATACATTAAACGGGCAGGCATATTTAGATGTACAATATCATAATAAAATGTGTATAATTAAATACAACAACATTGTTAAATATTTATTGTACAATTGGTTGTATACGTTTGTTATAATAACAACTAATACTTGAAACTATCAGAATTAAAAGATTAATGACAATGATTCTCGATTATTTTTATTTTTTAAACGTTGTTATGCAGAATTTTGCATTTCTGATGATTATATAACGATTCGCAACACTCAATTGGTATGTTCCTTCAATTTAATTACCAGTAGCTTGTGTAGCTGAGAAAACAACAACATTGCATGAAAATTAATTCTTAGAAACCGCGTTAAATATTAAACATTTCTTACAAGAGTTATATTAATTTAAATAAACTTTTTTTTAAGTGTATATAATAAACAAGTGTATATAATCTGACTTGTTTGGAAGCTTACATATTTCTATAATAATAAATAATAATAATTACATAAACATATATACTTAATATTACATATTATCTTTCATGGGTCAAGAGGCCATCAACCTTTTATTTGAATTAAATGAATTTGATTAAAGTCGTGGTATCTTTTGCATGTTTTTTGTCTTCTATATTTCGTTTATTTTTATATTAAATGTCATTCTCTATGTCCAATAACTTCTCAATTAGTTTTAATTTACTTCATTCACGTACATTAACTTGTTTCCAAGCATTATTATAATGGCAGAATAACGATTTTTTTCAAGCTTTGTTGTATTCATTACACAAACCTCTTGGCGACCTCTCTGCTTACTTCCATTCTCTGTGAATTTCTGGATTTAGAATCGACGTATTCATGAATAATATTTTGTTATTGTATATAATTTGTTATTATGCTGTTTCCACTACATTTCGTTTAATTATATTCATATGTTTTTAAGTGATAATACTACAACAATATTGAAACATATTTCGTGTAAGTTTCACATTATCACAAAACAAATAATAATCGGTTCTGCCAATATCACGAAGTGCTTGAAACCTGACTAATCTAAACTAATAACTAAATACGTACAAAAACAAATGGTATAAAAGGAGACATGACTATATAAAGAAAGAAAAAAGACCATTTATGTATAAAATGTACTATTTTTTTCTCAATGCTCAATTCAAATTTAGTTTCTTTTGTAATTTTCAAAACCGGACTGATGTAAATCGCACTATGCGTGGTATTGCTGCAATTAAATGAATTAATTTTTAATGTTTTAGTTTTGTGTTAAAATTGTCCTAACAAACAAGATAATAGTTATATACATTAAAGTTATTTCAATCTTTAAATTCTCTATTTATGCAGTATATTGGGAAACTGTTTTGTAATCGTGTTTTTATCGTTCTCTCTCGACTTCTAGTTCTGTAAATACAGTTACATTAATTAGAAAATCGTGTTTGTGTTAATATCCAGAAATTCCCATGTTTTCAATGCATAAAATATAGTATTTCGAAAGACAATGTTCACGATTTAAATTTAAATATTATCAGTATAATATATTAAATCAATGTTATTTTATTAAACGGTTTAGAAGAACAATGGAATTTACATTTTATTTTCTCATTACTGCGGGGATTATAATTGTATTACAATTACAAATTAAATGCACTGCTTAATCATTACTAATAGGGAAATAAATACATGTACTCTTATGGGAGAAGGTAATTAATACTATTTGTACAATACTTCAACTGTGTATGCGCGTGTTTTCTATATTAATAAGAATGAAATATTGGGAATATTATTAATTCATTGTATATAAGAAACCGAAAGATCTCCAAATGTGGGCTATCGAAATTAGCGCATATATAAATAAAAAATATAAGAAAGTACAGATATCCCCCGACTTACGAACTAGTTCCGTTCCAAAGGGTTGTTCGTAAGTCTTGTTCATTGTACCCTTAAACAAGTACTGAATGATGTAAGTCGAATTTGTTCGTAAGTCGGGGGAAGTTTAAAAATTTCAAAATATACATATCTTACCATACTTTATCATGGTTTTTACTTTTATGTATGTTAAATTCCGTATTACTGACTGCATAAATTTGAAAAAATATTATATTTTATTAAAGAAATGATACATTTTTGTTTGGACAGTTTACTTTTTTTTATCACTATATATCTCCTTGTAACAAGTTACAGCTTTTAGAATTTTAGAATCGCTTGGATATCTATACAAGTGTTCACTTTCAATGTGCACTTGTAATCAGTCTGGTTGTTTAGGTACCTTAGTATCTATGAAGGCGCCAGTACTCTTAAAAAATACGATATTAAAGAAAACTTTAAAAGTTTCCATTTGAAAGGCGCCATTCAGGTAAAAACTACCTGACATGTCACTAAATTTGTCATATTTTAGGGTCGTCCATTCTTATATTTTATTATTATTTATTTCCTGACAAAACTTTGTTTAAATTAAATATTTATAGTAATATACTAAAACCCTTTATCTACTATATATTGTATATCTTTTATATATTTTTATATATTGTGAACTACATTTCATTTCCAAACTTTGTAAATATAAATAACACAATATTATCATCAAAAATGAAAAACTAAATCAGAATTATGAATAACTTGAACATTTTTATTTCAAGTTTTTAAAAATTTATTCTTGTGCGTTAAATTTTGTAACAGTCCTTTATTTAAAGTCCTATTTTATACTCGGGAGACCAAGTTGTAATATATTTTCTTTTTATTCACCTCGAACAGAATTTGAGCATACATGGCAAATTCTTTGTTTTTTTTTCTACATTCAGTAGATGGAATATTTACTGATGAATGCCTTTCAATGAAATTTACTGCATGGTTTCCATACTCTGTTTTCTTCTGCAGAGTTAAATGTTTTTGTAAAATTTGTCTCATGACATTTCTAATAATACTTTTCAATGCGGTAATAATTATTTTTTTTTAAGAAAATTGCAGGTAGATAGAACTAAATAAAATATTACTACTGCATCTACATTCGAAAATAATATGTGGATAAAATAAATGCAGTCAATTAATCTAGGTAAAATAAATAGCTCGATTAACCCATAAAACACGTTAGAAAAGATGAGAAAATATTCATAAAATATTTGTGCATGTGCATACTGTAATCATAATTAAGTTTTTTACAATAATATCAAATCGCTTATTGATGACAGTCGTACATCACAAATGATTAGTTTCGTCGCTAATTTATATAAAATACCCACTATTAAGTATTACATTGTTATGTTTCTGGTGAAAAACCAGATTATACATCGCGTTCTCTCAAATAATATATAATAACTAAGCTAATAAGGTTTTTCCAATGATTTATATACTTATCATTAATGTCTTTTTCTAATATTACAAAGAAACAAGAAATCCTAATATAGAATGCATTATTATAATTGTAAGTTTTGCAGCAATTTAATTCATTTTTTTTATATTATTGTATTGAGTTTATATTATTATGTTGATTAATTGTTGCATAATTGTAAGTTAGGGTCTATATCGCAAGCCCGATAACCAAAAGTCCGTCTATTGAAATCCCGACGTTCGAAATCCCGACTATATCAAAATCTCGACAACCATAATATTGACTGTATCAGAATCTCGACAAACATAATCCCGACTATATCGAAAATTTTTACTATAACATTTTTTAATTATTTGGGAGCGTAATCTACCATGTGCTACACTTTTATTAATAATAATAATAATTTATTGGCCAAACATCAATACATAAGAAAGAAAGTACATTCTATACATAAATAAATTCTAACATAAAATAAAAACAAATATATTAATAGGCTGGCCAAAAGGCGAGGTCTTTCCGCCCGGGAACATAAATTTAATTATGGAATAATACAATATTGAAATAATAATAATATACAAATGAACAACAGAAGAATGAGGGAAAAAAAAGCAGCGAAGTAGGAACAAGTGTGTATCAATCGAGGGACAATAGGTATTGGAATAGGGATAATGTGGGATATTTAAATTTTGGAAGAATATTTGGGTTTCGAGGGACACAGAATTTATAGAGGCTCCCAAAATTTAAATATGTTGGACTTTTTGGATTTGAGTTGTTTGGAATGGGCATTGAGATTGAGTTAAGCATCAATAAAGATTCCAAGATATTTAACAAGTGGTGAAGGAAAATGGAATGATTATTTAACGTAACATGGGGAAACGAAGGGGATATGCGATGGTAGGGAATAAGGAGTTTGGTCTTGGATGGGTTAATTTTGAAGCGCCATTTTTTAAAACATAAAATGATCAAGGATATGAGGTTTTGAAGGCCAATAATAGAGGATTGAAGGGAACAGGCTTGGGAAATCAATGCAGTATCATCTGCGTATTGGAGGACATAGAGGTTGGGATCAAAGATATTAAGACAACACAACAAAAAAGGATATATAACAGAGGAGTCAGAGGGGAGCCTTGCGGAACACCCTGAAGCGGGGGAAAGGGAAGTGGAGGAGTTGCGGATCTTAACTTTAAGGGAACGATTATTTAGGAGGTTTTTGATGATGCTGATGAGGTAAGGTTGGAGATTTAGAAGGACTTTTATTATTAATAACAATAAATTATTATTAATTTACTTGATTTTGTTGAATTATTCATAATAAACCTTAACATTATGAATTAATCGCAAATACAATTAGATTATAAATTGTTATTATTTATTATTAATAACAATTTAAAAGTCACTACGCTCCGGAATAATTTAAAAATGTTATTTGATACAGTCGGGATTATGGTTGTCGGGATTTTAATATAGTTGGGATTTTGATACAGTTGTGATTTCAAACTTGGGGATTTCGATACAGTCGGCATTTCAAACGTCGGGATTTCGAACGTCGGGAATTTGATTGACGATATTTCGGTTGTCGGGCTTGCGATTGCCACCGCTGTATCATTTTTTTAAAAATTAAAATAACGTGTTAGGAAATGTAAATGACTATGAAAGTTAACTCTTAAAATTGAATTAAATGTATTTGAGCAGAGAAAGTGCGATAAATAATATGAAGGAGCATTTTTTTTAATATAGATTAGTCATTTTTATTAACAATATTGTACTTAAGATGTACAAAAATAAAAAGTTGAATTTTCGTTATTTTTATTTAAGAAAGATATTGATGTTTCTGTTTTGAAATAAATAATATTTAAATGTTAGTCATAGAATAATTGTTTTACTCATTACTTTACATAAAAATATTAAAAAAAAAATACAAAACAACGTCAATAAATTCAAGTTCAGTGGCTTCCAATAATTCCCCTAATGAGAAGAAGGAAAAAAATCTTTTCCCCAGTGAATTATAGGTTTTTCCGCATGACATAAATTACTTCATACGATAATATGATGTGCAACATGTTACGATTTTTAATTAAATGCATTAAATCTCTTTCATTCAAATATCCATCTTTGAGCTCGTACTGTTGTTTTGCATCAAAACGATATTTAAATAAAACTTATCTGAAATGAACTTATAAGTTTCTTTTTTTGTGATCATTAGTGAAGCGAATACCCAGAAAACCGATACTGGGATTACCCAAAAGCCAGAGTAGTAGGAGTAGAGGGATAAGGCCACAGCAAGTAACTTCTTTTCGTCAGTTTCAGAGCTGCAGCAAAGCGGACAAGAATCATCAGTTGCCGTGGAGAAGTGGTCAACAAACGAGCATAGTAAAAACATAATAAACAAACCGTAAGTGTGCATGGTTGACAATATTAACTATTTTTTTGTATATATATAACAGTTTGCATCACATGTCTACTTTACGTTCAATCATTTTCATTATAAATTGTATTCAATTGAGATTCTAATTTAAAAATGAAAATTACCATTTGTATTTATGATTCGAATTTATATTGCGGCGAATCTTGTTTATGTTTTGTGTTTGTTCATAAAGTCGCTAGACAATTATCTTCGCTTTTAACCTTCACCTCACCTCTGCAGATAAGTGCTATTTTAATTACCCAATCTCTTGCCCAAAGTGCTCTTCAAATTATATCATCTGTTGTATGGATAATTTAATATTATATCATATATAATACTGTTAATATTTTGTTTATAGACACACAAAAATATATAAAAATATGAACAAGTCAGCGTTTCAGACTTCTTAGATATTTAATTATAATTACAAAGTTATTTATTTTTAACCAAAGTTTTTCGATCTCTCACAGAAATAGTTTTGTTTGATTCATTAATATATTCAGAAAGTTTTACAATTATAGATTTCATTGGACAAAAGACTTGAAAGTGCATCTTAAAATGTTCATAAATATTTGTATATAAAATATATCTCAAGGTGATCTACCACTGGAAATTAGCTTTTATGCATTTGTTATTTATTGATAATACTGCTAATATTAATATAATTATTTTGATTAATATATATTTCTTGCATAAAATTATATGTGTTTATAATTGTATTTTTTTTACATTACTTATTTGAATAGTTGTTAGGATAATTTATTATTATGAGGTCATTAGCTTCAAGCGGTTTTACATTTCTATTACGTTGCAAATTTATTATTTATGTTTCAGTACATAAACAAACCTTTGCAATTTAAGGATATTTCACATTTATTTAATTATATTTTTATTTAATTTTATTCATTGTTACTTGCTAATTAATTTACGAAGCATTTTACACAGACGTACAGTTTCTGATAAAAAAAAATTGATTAAAAATGTTAGTTACAAAACCTTACTTTTTTTCTGAGCCAATGAAACCAGTTTGTGTATAAAACAAACGTCTGAAAAGGCGTGCTTTTGTATTGCATATAGGATGAAGCAGGACAAAACCAGTTTACGAATAAAACTTATTATCTCTTATACAGTCTGCTAGAAATCAATGTAAATAAGCATAACTGTAATTAATTTTAAATTTAATTCTTAACAATTATTACTATTAATTTATTATTTTTTAAAGCAATTTATAGAAATTATATTATAATTATGTAAGGTCCAAAAAAATCAATTACGTTTATATGCGTGCATATATTGTTTACATTTGTTCGCGTTACCTAGACAACATTATAATAATCTATACTGCTTATATAATATTGTATGCTCTTTAAGTACTCCTAGAACATGTTAACAATAGATTATACAATTAACGTTACGTTCATTATTTGCACTTCTTGGATAATTATATAGAACACGTTATACAGCCACAAAATAATCACATTTAAAATTATTGTGTTATTTCAGAAAATATGGTTTGCACCGTATTTAAGATATTCGCCCTTGCGGCATTGACGGCTTCTTGCATTGTTGCTATTCCTGTGGATAAAGATATGGTGGTTGTAACTGATGTTCCTAATGTCACATTTCCTACTAAAGAGGTAAGCTATATAATCATTGTAAACAGAGAACGGTTAAATATTTATTTTTTTTCAGGGTAATACTAATCAGCGACCACAGATATCAGAAATGAACATCAAAACGAATGTAACGAATCGGTTTGCGCAAACAACGGTTACTAGTAAAGTGAAGAATCATGCGACTAAATCACAAGAAGCCGTATTCTTCGTCGTTCTTCCTGATCAAGCTTTTATCTCCGCCTTTATTATGGAAATCGATGGGAAAAATTATACAGCTTATGTTCAAGAAAAGGAAAAGGCTAAGAAGACCTATGAAGATGTAGAGTAGAATGATTGCATAAAGTCTTCACTTATTTAAAGTACTTTTTTTTAGGCGGTAAGCAGTGGAATCGGAGCAGCTCATGTTGCAGTCAGCGCGAGAGATTCAAATAAATTTACAGTGAATGTTAACATTGAACCGGAAAGCAAAGCAGTATTCTATTTAACATACGAGGAATTGCTTGAAAGAAAGAAAGGCTTTTACGAATTGGTGATCAACATCCACCCAGGGCAATTGGTGAAAGATTTGAATGTCGAAGTCGATATCGACGAATCGCGTGCGTTGAGTTTCGTCAAGGCCCCGCAAATCCGCTCTGGAAACGAGATTCTGAAAGAGAACGATGAATTGGATCCCAGAGCTCAGATCGATACTCCAAAACCCGAGCAAGCAGTTATTAAATTCAAACCGGATTACGAAAAGCAAAAGCGCATTGCTCATGGTTTAGGAACTAAAGAAGATGAAGGACTTTCTGGACAGTTTATCGTGCAGTACGATGTCGAGCGTGATCAGGAAGGAGGAGAAATATTGGTGAAAGATGGATATTTCGTTCATTTCTTTGCACCACCAAATCTAAAACCTTTAGTAAAACACGTCGTATTTGTTTTGGATACTAGTGGAAGTATGTACGGTAGGAGAATCGAACAGCTTAAGGAAGCAATGAAAAATATTCTCGGTGATCTCAATCCAGAAGATTATTTCAATTTGGTAGAGTTTAATAGTAATGTAAAAGTGTGGAATTTGGACGCTCCGGAGGAAAGCACCACTTTCCCAAATGACGATAACTTGTGGGGACACCCTGAAAAAGTCCACGAAATTAAAGTGAGTAAATATTAATCAAATATTAATTCAGATAGGTAATTGGTTCTCGTTTAGGATGTCTCTTTCCCGCCAGCTTATCCAGTTAAAAACACCACTATAAATAAGGCAAACAAAGCCGTAATGGAAATGCACGCAACTGGAGGTACTAACATTTACGAGGCAATCAGAGTCGGTATCCATTTAATCAAATTGAGGCAGAAGCGTGTTGGCAATAATAATATTCAACCATTGATTATCTTCTTAACTGACGGAGAAGCAACGGTTGGAAAAGTTAGCGAAAATGAAATTATTGCTGGTGTAAGTTAAATCGCAAAATCATACAAGACAAACCTACATTGCTAATTGTATTTCAGGTATCTGACGAAAATAGCATCAAAATCCCCATTGTCAGTCTCTCGTTTGGTGATTCAGCGGATCGTAAGATGCTGAAAAAACTCTCTCAAAAGAACTTCGGATTCGAACGCACAATCTACGAAGATTCTGATTCGGATCTTCAGTTGCAGAACTTCTATAAAGAGATTTCATCTCCCCTGTTGAATAACATCAAGTTTACATACACGCCCGATACAGTTAGCCTTACAAGAACAGATTTTCCTATTCTTTATCAAGGAGGGGAATTAGTAGTTTCCGGTAGAATTCCAGAAAATGTCAATGTAGACAAACCAATTGTGAGCTGCTTTGGCATCTTAGGTCCAGTCCTATACCGGCCTAAAGTTAAGAAAAGCGTTGGCCAATTAGAAAGGTACTGTTTGTGTTGTATTATAGAAATGTCTTTAATCTGTTAATATTTGGTAATTTCTAGATTGTGGGCTTATATGACTGTGAAAAAACTGTTAGGAGAAAAAGAAACATCAACTAATGCTACTGAAATTGAAAAGAAAGCTCTCGATTTAGCTTTGAAATATTCGTTTGTAACTCCAGTAACGTCGATGGTGGTTGTTAAACCCAATAGCACAAAATCCGTGGATACCGAAGAAGCTTCCTCAAGTCCAGATTGTACGTTATTTATTTTATTTTTCTTTATAAATTATTCTAATTATTCAATTTTAGATGCACCAGGTGCACCTCTCAACGTCGGATTCGGTGGTAAGTATTTATTTGGAAAGACTTTGTTCAATTCTATCTTTAATAATGAAACCTTCAGTTTTTGTATATATATATATAAATAGTATCATAAAAACATTTTAAAGAACAATAATAAACAAAATTTATTGTGTAGCTAGCTACAAAGGGCTATTGACCGCAGTCTTTCCGACTATTTAAAGAATATTAAACAAAAATATATTTTCAATCCTGATTCGCAGGTCACAGAAACCCAGTCAGATTATCTACAAAATCAGGTTTATTATTATCCATTTATAATGTTACTAAAAATATTAGATGTTTTGAGTATAAAATCAAGTTCTATAAAATGCATGCACTAGCATAAACTTTTGTATATAATAACTCATATATTTATAGGTTCTTTTAAGAAAAATATCGGTTATAGGAAATTCAATACTAGGACACGACCAGGTTATTTATGTTTACAATGCATGATTTAATTTATTATTCAGGCATGAAATAATATAAAATAATATCAATTTTAGAAAATTATAATATTTTAGTATCAACTATAAATTGTTGTGATAATATAATATTCTTCTTTTTAGGAATTGCCCTGTCTAGACCATTTTTGTCAGCTCCTGCACCGCAATATCCATTATTGACTTCTACTCTTGCACAGCAATATCCGTTGGCTACTGTACTTCCTGGTAGCACATACCAACCTTCTTATGATAGGGTTGCCACAGGGTTTGCGATGGTCCCTAACCATGTGTTTGAACTGGACAGTGATGAAGGTGTCATAAATCATACCGAAGCCTTTTCAACGACAACAATGAAACCTTTCGTTGTTCCTGCCGAAATCAAAACAAAACTACCTTGGATGGAAACTAAATTTAACGTAGATGGAACCTTAACGTTCTTCAAAGGTAATATCGTAATTTCTTAAATCAATGTGCTGATCAACATTTATACATTTAGGTCACTATACGCTGGGTTTGAATGAAACATCACCTGCTGGACTTGATTGCACAGATCCACAGAGCGAGGAAGGTTTCTGCATGTTAGTTAAGGATTGCGAAATTCTTCTACCAAAATTGATCGACGAGCAATCCTTCAAAGACTATTTCTGCTCCATCGAAAACAAGTAAATTTGAAATTACCAATAGCAGAAAATACGTCTATTTAATAAATGAATTTGTTACAGATTTGCCGGAGTTTGCTGCCCGAAAAAGAAATGAAACTTAAAGCGGTAAAATAATTTTTGAATTAACAAAAACATGTAATTTATTTTATGATATTATATCTTTTTCTTAGCTCAAATTTATTTTAGAAATTGTCTTATGTATTCATGTTAAATGTAATTTTCCATTTATAAGTAAAAAAAAAATATAGTTTTATCAATTAGATTTTGTGGTACTTTATTTCTTGATATTATGATTTTTTTCGATTATAGTGCAATTATCAAATTAAGTAATTGATATTTTATAAGCTTTGAATCATATAAAATGTAAATTATATGATTTTATGTAATTTTTATATATTATATTGAAGCTATATCTAATTATATGATGATGTTATTATTTCCATATTTCTTCTAGTATATAATATATATCTATTAATGATACTGGCAACAATGTAGTTGTAAAAAAAAACTCGATTTTAATATTTCACGTCAATTCAACTATAAAATTACCTTAATTTCACAACCAAAGCTGTTTAAATGAACAAAAACAGTGCGCATGTTATCTAAGAATAAATATAACAAGAAATACAAGATTGTTTGAATTATTTATTTAATGAATTTCATACATCGCCTATGTATCCCACTCCTCTCAGAAACAAGAATTGGTAATTCACAGATACCAAAAAATTCTCATATATGTTACGGTAAAAGTACAAAATCGGTAAATCTTCAGATTTACCAACTTAGTTAGATAAGTATGTACTTAGATAAATTATATAAAGTATCGTGGCACAGTACCTATTTGATAACACGGTCCTGATCTCGGGTTATGTTTAACAGACAGACATAAAAATCTGGCCTGTTCTGGCTGGCTCGGGGCCAAAAATTATAAAGCGCTGAACTAACTCCGCTCCTGCCGTAACATATTTACTATCAATTTTACAATTTATTTTTACACAATATTTTTGTTTCATGTCGATTGTAAATATTTGAAATAACAGTAGTTCAATTACATTTGACTTTACTAGTAGCACTAATGATTTATTCTATGTCGGATTTTAATAAAATAATCTCAAGTAGTTTGATAAATGAAGTCAACAAATTTCATTTTCATAATTTCAGAACTGAATATTTCAGATTTAATGAAAATGGAACATGTTTGTAGATTATTACAGAGATATTGAATATTATGACTTTCGTTACGATAAAACTTCAATATTTTTTTATTTAAACTAAATATGAGTAGTGGGAGGTTTAATGATTAAGTTGTCTATTGAGTAGTGTGTGTGTGACTTAAGGAATTGTCGTGACTTCTGTGATATATAAATATTTATTATAAATAAATTGTAAGTAGATAAATGCATTATCTAGTTATATCTAATTAAACTAATTATTCTTAAGTAATTAGTAAATGAACACTCACTATTATTCGAAATTTTAGTTATATAAATCAATACTAAAACGCTGTTATCAAGTTCGTAATATTTCTTGAAGTTGCGTACAATTATCTGTACATTTAACCTTTGCCTCAACACAGGAGATAAATATTGAATAATTGATTAATGAACATTTTTCAAACAAATCTATTTTCAAAGCAGTAATTTTTACTTCAATTTGTAAAATATTCAGTTTAATTAAAAATAAATATTGTTATTACATTTTTCTATTTGAATTATTCGTCATCTAATAAATGACGTTAATTTTTGTGGTTTGATTCATTCAATTGAAAAGTTTTTTTTTAAATAGAATGTTTCTTAGCCAATATTTTGTTTTCAAATTTGTACTCTACCTCATTTTAGTGATTATAACAGTGATAATATAAATATTTATTCACAATACTATTTTTTTTCTTAGGTAACTTCAATATGATGCGAAAAGTATACGTTCTATTTGCATTTACATCATGGGTATTGACAACAGCAGTTTCTGAAGATTTAGATTTAATTTTAGTATCTGAACCTGCAATTACTGCGCCTAGTAAAGAGGTATTAATGTATTATAAGGTTGTATATATTATAAACATATTGTCATTATAGAGTCTTCAAACACAGCCACCAAAAATAACTGAAATGAGCATAAGAACAAATATAACTAATCGGTTTGCCGAAACAACTGTGACTAGTAAACTGAAAAATCCGTTAACGAAAGCGCAAGAGACAACATTTTTCATAGTTATTCCTGAGCAAGCATTTATTTCCAGTTTTATTATGGAATTGTCTGGTAAAAATTACACTGCTTTTGTAGAAGAAAAAGTGAAAGCCAAGAAAAATTATGTTGAGGTAAATAATGAGCATCGAGGAAGTTAATATGAACTATAGTCTATATATAATTTAGGCTGTTTCCAATGGAGCAGGTGCTGCTCATGTTGAAGTGAGCGCAAGAGATTCAAATCTGTTTTGCGTGAATATCAACGTAGAGGCTGAAAGCAAGGCTGTATTTTATTTGACATACGAAGAATTATTGGAGAGGAAAAAAGGAGTTTATGAATTGGTGATCAATATTAATCCCAAGCAATTGGTAAAAAAATTAAATGTGGAAGTTAGTATAGACGAAAGTGTACCAATAACTATAGTAAAAACACCACCAATTCGATCAGGTAATAAAATTGTGAAGGAAAATGAAAAACTGGATGCACGGGCCGTTATTGAGAGACCTGGTTTAGGGAAAGCGGTTATTAAGTTCAAGCCGGATTATGAAAAGCAGAAGCAAATTGCTAATGTTTTGGGGACTAAGGAAGACGAGGGTTTAGCTGGGCAGTTTGTGGTACAATACGACGTGCAAAGGGATACAAACGGTGGTACGATTATAGTAAAAGATGGTTATTTCGTACACTTTTTTGCCCCGACAAATTTGGAGCCTATTCCTAAGCACGTCGTATTTGTACTTGATACAAGTGTTAGTATGGATGGTAATAAATTGGATCAAGTTAAGGAAGCGATGAAGAGTATCGTTGGCGATCTCAATCCAGACGATTACTTTAATATTGTTGAGTTCAACAATGTTGCTTATGTATGGAACCTGGATATTCCTCACGAGACTACCATTTACCCGGAGAATCAGAATGACTTGTACTCTCAGCATGGTATATTTAAAGATATGAACGTAAAAATACTTGATGATACTGTACGATGTTGTCTGTAATGAAATGATTTTAGAGTATAAATTTTCCGCCTGCTTATCCAGTGAGAAATAGCACCATAAAAAAAGCTATGGAAGAAATCAGTTATATGAATGCTAGGGGAGGAACAAACATTTATCATGCTGTAAGCGTAGGCTTACATTTAATTCAAGTATTTCAAAAAGTCTCTGGGAACAATAAAGTACAACCGTTAATTATCTTCCTAACAGATGGAGACGCAACAGTCGGTATAACAGATTCAAACACTATCATGTCCAAAGTAAAATCAAAAGTTTTTCAAAGCAAGCATTATTCATTTTTTACTTTCAGATTTCCGAGGAGAACATACTCAAGATACCAATAATCAGCCTCGCTTTCGGTAATGACGCGGATCGTGATTTAATCAAGGAACTTTCAATAAATAATAACGGTTTCGCACGATTTATTTACAAAGATTCGGATTCTTACTTGCAATTATCAAATTTTTACAAGGAAATATCTTCGTTGCTTCTTAAGAACGTGTCATTTTACTATACACAAGATTTTGTGAGCCTTACAAAGACAGAATTTCCCATACTGTTTAGTGGTTCCGAGATCATAGTTACTGGTAAAACTCTTGGAAATATTGTTAAAGATGATACATCTGTGAATAGTTGGGGTATACGTGGACCTATTATACTAAAACCTAACGTTATTGAAAGCGTTGGCCAACTTGAAAGGTATATTATATTAATTAATTGCATCCGATGATTATTATTATTATTTTCAGACTATGGGCGTACATGACTGTAAAGAGGTATCTTGATGATGTATCCAATTTAACGCAAGCTGAAAATAAAGCGCGCGAGTTGGCTTTGAAGTATTCCTTTGTAACTTCGGTAACATCTTTGGTAGTGGTAAAACCGAATGAGACAAACGTAATAGATTTAGAGGAAGCTTCGAGTCAACCGACCTTGGATTTGCTAGTTCCATGTAATTATATTAAGTAATTAATTATATTTTTACTTGATAATATTCATTTATAGATCCACTTGCAAGCCAACAGTTTTATTTCCCTACGAATAGAGTATTCAATACATTTAGAAATAATAAAAATCATGTTAAAATGTTATTCTCTTATGGAGAAACTGACTACAACATGGATCACTTAATAGAAACAAAATTATCAACGCCTAAAATAATTACTATACCTGATGAACTTAGAATTAAATTGCCAATTTTGGAGCATATATATGATATAAGCGACGGAACTTTGACCTTATTTAAATGTAAGTTTTGTTTAAAGCAACAAGATAGAACTTTATTATATTGAACTACACGATCTAATTAATTATTTTATTATAGATCCATATACTCTTGGGTTTAACGAAACCTCGGCAGATGATATAGAATGCATAACTCCTCGCAGTGATGTCGGCGCTTGCAAACTTATACGAGATTGCGAAATTCTATATCCAATTTTAGTTAACCAACAGACTTTTAAAAGTTACTTTTGTGCAATTAATTTGGATGATCGTCGACTTGGTGGAATTTGTTGTCCAAAAAATAATAATATGATTTGATAGAAATAAAACTGCCATATTCTTTGAAAAATTAACTTTGTTTTATATTTGTATGTTATACAAATGTTTCATTTTTTTAACTTAATCAAAATGTGTCAACAGAAACGAATACTATTTTACTTAGGTCCCAACATGTCTTCTGGTTTCACCCAATCGTTGAATTGTTGTTCAGTGAGATGACCTAACTTAAGTGCGGCCTCCTTAAGAGTTGTTCCTTCTTTATGGGCGGTCTTGGCGATTGCCGCGGCTTTATCGTAGCCGATATGTGGGTTCAGAGCCGTTACCAACATAAGACTTTCGTGGAGGATCTTCTCAATCCTATCGGTGTTAGCAACAATACCATCAACGCAGTTTACTGTGAAGCATTTACAGCTATCGCCCAACAACCTGATAGATCTGAGTACATTGGCAACCATCATTGGTTTGAATACGTTAAGTTCGAAGTGTCCGTTTGAACCACCCACAGACACAGCAACATGGTTACCCATAACTTGGGCAGCCACCATCGTGATGGCTTCACATTGAGTTGGGTTCACTTTACCAGGCATGATTGAGCTACCGGGTTCGTTTTCAGGGAGAGACAATTCTCCTAATCCGCATCTTGGCCCGGAAGCCAAAAACCTAAAATACATTAACATCATATTTTGTTATCATATTTTTAGAAGTAAATATTCTACCTGATGTCATTGGCAATTTTCATAATTGAGCAAGCAACGGTGTTGAGTGCTCCAGAAACTTCCACCAAAGCATCGTGAGCGGCAAGTGCTTCGAATTTGTTGGGAGCCGTCACAAACGGTAATCCGGTGAGTTCAGAAATTTTAGCAGCGCACTTTTCGGCGAATCCCTTCCTGGTATTCAGTCCAGTTCCAACGGCGGTTCCTCCCAGCGCCAGCATGTACAATCTTGGAAGGGTGTCTTCGATCCTGCAAATGCCGAAAGACATCTGTTGCACGTATCCGCTGAATTCTTGGCCCAAAGTTAGAGGGACGGCATCTTGAGTGTGAGTTCTTCCAATTTTGATGATTTTATTAAATTCCTGAGCTTTGCAGTCCAAACTGTCCCTCAACATCTTCATGCTTGGCAAGAGGGTGTGATGGATTTCTTGTGCGACGGCAATGTGCATCGCAGTTGGGAAAGTGTCGTTACTGCTTTGAGATTTGTTGACATGGTCATTGGGATGGACAGGGGTCTTGGATCCCAATTCACCTCCCATGATCTCAATTGCGCGGTTCGAGATTACCTCATTGGTATTCATGTTCGATTGAGTACCGGAACCGGTTTGCCAAATTACCAATGGGAAATGATCATCGTACAATTTGCCGTTGATCACCTCATCGGCGGCTTTCGAAATGGCATCAGCAACTTTCGGATCTAAACCGTAATCCTTGTTTACCAAAGCGGCAGCCTTCTTTAGAGTACCCATTGCAGTAATAACCGGGTACTAAAACACAATACTTAATTACAACAACAATATTCAATTACAACACTGACTAATAAAACTAAACTTGTTTATTCAAATACATGTTTATGCAGTATGAATAATTAATTTATACTTGAGATTTCAATTATAAATGTAAGTAATTAGAAAAAAATCTAACTTACAGGCATCCTTTCGAATTCACCGCCAATTGGGAAATTCATGGTGGAGCGAACAGTTTGCGCGCCATAATATTTCTCGACTGGTACTTGGAGTTCACCGAAGGTGTCTTTTTCGGACCTGAATTTAGCCTAAAAACAAACAAAATATAATAATGAACTCGGTTATAAAAATCTGACATTTATATGAATTATGTATGAAGATCTCCCCTAAAGATGTAACTGCATAAAAATTCATTGAAATCTTTGAATTTGATTTTACAATAGTAAACTTATTATGATAGAAAAAACTAAGTTGTAGAGATAAAAAAGTACAAGTTCATAGTGAGAATGGGTATCGATTAACGAAACATCCGACGAGTTCCGAAGAAGTCAAGTACTGATGTTCTACTGCTACAATAGATGTAATGACATTTTTTAAAATAGAACTAGTATTCATTTGAATAATGATTATAACTTACATTTTATTCCCATTAATTTTTAATAAAGAATATTTGAATACTTGTTAATAATACTTATATTACACAATTTCCAAAAATAAAGAAACGTTTAACCAGATGTGTTTTTTTCATACACGGACATTCTCACATCTTCTTAATTCTGAATCAACATCGTCAAATATGAAATTAGGAATATACTTCGCCCATTAATTCCAACATATTCAATGCCATTTTAATTTAGTTCCTTAATATTGTACAATACACTAGTTAATTAAATCTTGATAGTGGAAACAACTTTCAAATAATGTGTCGTTAACGCAATCTTGATTTTTTATTACAAATATTCATTGAATTTTGTTTGTTTGTTTTATTTTACAATACTTTATGCTTTTCATGTGCAATCAATGTTACATTTAAATTCACTGTTCACATATCGCACGTTCTCTTCGTTATTCTAAATCAACGTTATCAAATATTATAAAATGATTGACAGCAACAATTACGTGCTCTCTAGTCCACATAAATTACAATTCTTATATTTTGACCAGTTTACAAATGTGTATGTTGAAAATGCAAATACATAACGAGCAATTCGCTTAACGAGCAGAATAAGAAAAATTACTCTAACGAGCGACGTTTTGCATAACGAGTAACGATGATACATCATTTTTAAAACTTGTGTACACATATTAAGTGAATTTTTGAGTAAAAATCCGGAAATTTTGGAACGGATTAAACTCGATCAGCGAAGTTACACTGTAGTTTTCAAAAAAATTTGACACAACAAATACTTAAAATAAACCTGATGATTATCATTTTAAAATAAATATAATAAAAAAGAGTAGATATCCATTACTATGCAAGTATGATATAAATTTGAATATAAATAACAAATTTCAAAAATATCTTTTTTTGGAATTTTGCCAAATTTCTCTTATTAATCAAATACAATAAAGATTGAAACAATAATGAACACATAACTTTAAATTATACTTAATTTAGTAATATTGACGATTATTAGATAATATTTAATAAATAGTAGATATACAATCTATGATAATCCAATTGGAATGCGATTTTTCGATACAGCTGTTACTAAGATTTCCAATATGAATATAATGTTATTGAGAAATTCGTTCGAATGTAAAATAGTTGTTAACTATGTGAAATTGAATATATTAGCAAATGAAATACGAATCCAGTTTTTCACAATGTGATGACATAACACTTACCATTAGCGCAGCTCTAGTGGAAAAATACTCCCGGCTATTGAAACAAACACTCCTGATAGCGGAAGCGGCGCGAATGGGATAGAATTGTGTGAAAGCCATGTTCAAATAGATTTTTTTCCTGTCCCTGACCGTTCGACCTCAACACAACCTTCCGCCGAGATGTTTCCTCTTCGAAGTCCCAACAGCAACTGACATAACACAGCTGATTCCAGATAAGGGATTTCAAATGAAGTTAGCTACTACAATATTTGATTTTATATTCCTCGAAGTTATGTATCTATGGATTATAGAAAATAAAGCAATAAATATAATTAAAAATCACCTTTTAAAATTAATAAAACTAATTTTAATATTAATGAACTTCATCATAAAATGAGGTTGTTATGCAAGGAGTGTGGTTGGTTGCCTATTTAATAAATACTCGAAACTTTACAAAGAAAAATTATTTGCTAGAATAGTTCTTTTTTAACACAGTCACAATATGTAATTAATAAATATTGTATAGAAACATTATTGTAGAAAGTCTTTTAATCAGACTAACTTTGACTAGAGTTCAGTATGTGCTTCATGAAAATGTTTTTCAGCTGCATCTGATGCATGCAAATATACGCCCTCCACGGATTGCCAATGGACTGCACCAGTCGATGATCTCAATCCAATAATTTCCATCTGTCCATTGATAGGTCTTCCAAACGTTTTCCCAGATGTAGCCAAGTATTGTTCAGTGTCAACATGTTTAAGCATCACACTATCATCCCTTATCCAATAATCACCTTCATAAATAAAAAAATATTATTACTAGTTTCTCATCAATATATAAATGTATAAATTACCAGAGCAAATTACAGTCCAATGGTCACCAGTATCACCCTCTCCATTATCACCATAGCAACTGATTTCTTGATTACCACTCAATGGGCTGGCAAAATGATGAGAATGAAGATTTTTGTTTGTTGCCATATGCTCCAATCTGATCTCAGATCCACACTTTATTGGTTGTCCTCGTGGGCAATTCTTTCCTGTGGCTGCTTTCACTGCCCAATGGCTGTTAACATCTTCTTGAACCTCAGTACCAGTCACTGATTGCTGTCCACTACCTGTTCCATACTTAACATCATGGGAATGCAATCTAACTCTGTGATCTGTGTTCAACAGCTTTATAAGGGACCCACATGTTACATATTTCTGTTTGGCGGCTGAAATTTTCAAAAATTTTAAAGGCCACGCGAAAGAATCGTGGACCAATCAGAACGTGCCAAACAATTGATGTCGACTGTATTGCCGCTTCTGATTGGCAATTAAATTGAATTTATGAATTACAATTACCTTGTGTGTAAGTAACTGAATTCCCAGTAATCCAGCAAATCAATGCCATTAATAAACAAGTAGAAGAATTCATTTTCTATATATTTTGCTGACAAGAAAAAAAACCTTAACAACACTCGTCAACCCACCAAATTGCTACTGAACTGTCAGTGGTAGTTGCCAACATGTAATAAAATATATCAATAAGTTAATCAGAGTCACAAACATTAAAAAACTAAATTTGAAATATTCATTTAAATTTTAATATAGTGGCTATAGCGCATTGGAAATATCGAGTCCAATAAATATATTTAAATTATTTAATTTAGCATTAAAATTTTATAGTCTAGTCTAGATCCGTGATTCTCAAACATATACCCATTCTTCGGGGGTTCTTCCAAATTTGTAAGTGTAACCAAAAAGTTCGAGAAACGCTGATCTATTTTTGCAATATAATTGTTCAAAAAATATAAATAAATAGTTAATTATATCTTTAAGAATTATACAGCTACATTCCCTCAATTATGATGTTTTTAAAATCCACATAATATATATAGTAGTTTAGAAAGTAATAACTTAAAAAAATGTTCATATTTTACGACTTTTATGTAATACGATTTGTGTATTAATAATAAATTTTAGCCCTTGGAATAAACTGTTTATGATATTTATATTATTGTATTGATTTTTTTTTATTTTGTTATTTTCTGTTTCAATAAATATTATTTACATTTGTTTATAATTATAAAAATAATATATCAATGTGACAATGTCAAATACAAAAAATGAATTAAAATGTTGCAAATGCAAATTAACATAATTTGGTTTCTAGTTATATACAACATTGGCTTTTCTGAAAATGTGGATGTCATAGGTAAAATAAATAATATAAATCAGTGGAAACAAAGTAATGTAATAAAATACTAGATTTGAGCATTGACTGCAAGAATAATTTAAAGTCAAATTACTTTTTAACTAATGGATTAGGATCTGCTGATGGGATTAATATTCTCTTTGCTAACAAGGGATTAAATTGCACAATAAATTTATATACTAAACCCAGTGCAAAAGATATCCATCAAATTTTAATTCTGGATGAATTTGATTCATGTAACAATTTAAGCATCGTGAGTTGTTTTAATATTTAATATAATGTTTCTTAAACTTTTTTAAACTATAGATTCTCGACGGGCAAATTAAAATAAACCCTTGCAAATATTTGATTGAAGACAAGTCGGCAATAGTAGATGTCTTCAATCATAGTAAAACTTCAATTACCATAAGACGGAAACACTTTGGACGTTTGAATTTGTTGGCATCATCATCAAATGGTAAATGTTATCCATTCTATTATTTCATTCTAATTATCATTAAGTTGTTCAGTTTTATCACCCGGAAATTCCTGTAAAATATATGAGACACTTTGTAGAATAAACAATAGAAATCTGTGTCTAAGTTCGGAACTGAGGTGCGAGTTTTATAAATTTTGCGGATACAACTCATTAGAGATTGCAAAACTTTGTGGAATTAAAACAACTTTAGGTAAATTATGTAAAGCATTTGTAAACGAAATAGTATTTCTTGATTTTAGGTATTACTAAGGAATTGCTTTTTGCTATAATCGCTGGTATTATATTATTAAGTTTCGTGCTTTTTATGATCTATAGATTGTTCTATAGATTTATGCCAAAATTACCAAATCGATTTTTTAAGAGTATTCATCATGAAGACATCAAACTTATTGTTGCTACTCAGGCCAGTCCAAAAGCAAAAAAGAAGGTCGGTTTAAAGCAAATAACGACGAATATACCGAACAATGTTAAAAGGAAAGTTGAAATGGATGATAGCGAATCGGAATTAACCGAATTTATATATAACCCATCTACAAGGAATGCTAACAAGAAGCGACAAACCACAAACACCCCGGTTTTTAGGAACAGTCGAGTAGCTACTATTCTTCTAGAGAGTATCACTGATTTGCAGAACGATGTTGAAAGCACGCCCCAAACGAGTACCGAGAGCGAGTCTGTAATAATTGAAGATAACTTTAACGCGTTCTCAAAGAAGAAGCGCCACATCAAATAATATTTTTAATGACGCGCACAAGGACAAACACAATTATTTCAGTATTCAGAATCACTTAAACATTGGCCGCTGCAAGGATTAGTAGACTCTTTATCTAAAATATCATTGAAAGTATTTAAATTGAAAGTATATAATTATCGATGGATTTACCATTTTTATGTTTAATAATAATTTTCCATTTCAAACCGGATTGAGTTTTTGGTTCGCCTCCCGTTTGATCACTGGAAATATCCTGCGAATCATTAAATCATTCTATTAAGAATTTATTTCAAAATTAGGTAATACTTAACGGGGCGAACCGATGTTTTATAATCTTGAAAAATCTTCTCCAATTTTAATGGTTCTTCGAGGCTAACATTTTGAAACATTTCTTTTATTTGCCCTGTGTCTAGAACATTATTCTCAAATTTAATAATAAATATCATTTATTTATATTATACCTGGATCCCTTTGTATTAACCGACGATTATTTGCATGACTCTGCATTTGTTTATTAGCTAAAATTTCAATTGTCTCTTTAACCGCTGGATCAACTGGCCGTTCTACTGATCGAACTGGCGAATTTTCCCGTGTAATAGTTTTTACAAATAGTACTTTATTTGTATCACCACTGATATTTGTAATCGTCGATGATGTGCTCTTCTTTACTGGAGAAGAGTGTATTGGTGCCATTGCCCACTTCTTTGTGGCACATTGCTCCAACTGCTTCCTCCTACCAGTAGTCATTTCTTCTTTTGGACTTTCAGGTTTTGATAATCTAACAGTTTCTTCATGCACAATCTCTTTATTGCATCGTATTAAATCATTTGAATGAGTTCGAATCTGTTCATTCATTTTGGGAGGAACCATTTGACAGTAGGAAGAGAATGTTATTATCGATTTATCGCTCGTCTTTAATTTCGCTGTATTATCGGATTTTCCGTAATAGAGTTTAGTTGATTCGTTATCGGCTGTAAACTTGCTAACAGGCACTCGTTTGATGACCAGTTTTTCGACCACGTATTCGTAAGGCTCGTTCAATTTCGAATCTACGGAAATCACGGAATCAGCTTTCCGAAGGCCAAAGCATAAGCAACAAAAACTAGGCTTTGGCATTTTTTATTGGCTGCATTCACAATTCATTGTTTAAATTAACTGAAATTTGACAAAATCTGACAAATTGTCAAATCTCTATGATATATAATGGGATGATTTGGACGTTGTCACTAATATTTCAGCCTGTTAAATAAAAGTTGTATGAGTGTACTCAACTAAAAATATCTTTTATTTCACATGTTTCAAAAACTAATATATATATATGTGAATCTACAGGTCTGCATGTGATCATTTTACCTCTGATATTTTATTATAGTACTAAATTTGAACAACATGTAGTACATGTTTTGCCTGAAATCAATGGCGATAAAATGTGAAGATATTTGAATCTATATTTTGTTAAAGATATGTTTAGATCAATGAAAAATAATGATTTATTTAAGTTTGTTACATCTGGAATAAGATTTGATAAAATATTTCCTTTTTTTTAATTTTATATAGTAATCTTTTTCTTTCCAATTGCTATAGTAAATATATCATACAATTATCATTAAAAAATAACTTTTAAACATATTTTCAAGTTAGTCTTTCAACTGCTTTCAACACTACCAAACTACATTCATATTGATTTATAGTTTTCCTAAGGTTGGCAAATGAATACAAATAATATAATTATTTTTGGAATCTAGAATAATTTGACGTTTAATAATAAACAAATAATCTTCGCTTGATTAGTACAAAAGTCAATATTTTGGGTAATAATATTACTATATTTTGTATATGTACTTAATCTAAAGCATAAATGGATTTCTAAATTTGTAGATGGCTGAAGACCCATATGAGCTTGTAGTAAAAGATAAGATGAAGATGAAAGGAGACTCTAGCATTAAGAAGAAAAAGAAGAAAGATAAAAATCTATTAGATCAGGTCTCAATGGTTGCTGAATCAGTACCTCAGAAGCCAGAAGAATCATCTGATTCAAAAAGAACCAAAGCTGAATTAGCTTTTAAAAAGATGCAAGAAAAAAATGTAACATATTTAAAAATTGTCATGCAATCAATATTAACTTATATTATTTTTGGTAGCAAACCAAGAGGATATTGGAAAAAGCCTGTATGACTCATAAAGAGAGAGTGGAAAAATTTAACCAACACTTGGACAGCTTAACTGAACACTTTGATATACCCAAGGTCTCGTGGACTAAATAGAAATTATATTTTATTTATAAATATGGTATTAATCTAATTATATTTATTGTTAATCTATTTTTATTAAAAACTTACTTTTATTTACATTAACTTCTTTGGGGAAAACGACATGCAATCAAGTAAATAAAGAATATGTTAATAACAATTATCAAGATTGCTTTTTGAAGGAACATTAAGATAAGTATAACATTAACATTCAAATATCTAAATATAACACACAATTATTTGAAAATTACAATTGGTGTGTTCAAATGAATTTAGTTTCAATCAAGTATGTTCAACCAAAAATATAATTTCATTTTCTAATCTTATAAACATTCATTTAAGCTTTTTACATGGTAACTATTAACGTTGAAATTAAAGAAAAGAATTGTTTTAATGTATTTTGTCTTGTTTCAATTCAATTCTGATATGGCAAATAGCATGGCAAATTGGACCCCTATAGCATTACATTTTATTAAGTGATGGATATAAAAATATTAGTAGTATTGCTTTTTAGTGATAAATCAATTCTGCCAACTGGATGATTAATGCGACGCTGCTTCTCTTATTTGAGTTGTAAACGGATAACATTTTAAAAATATATATATAAATACATACAAATTAAAAAATAAATATTTTAAATATACAATGATCACATATATTCATATCCTAATTTCCGCTTCATGCGTTTATATACTTATAATGTGGAATTGTTATAAACACGGACCAAAAAAAGGATTGAAGTCCTTCCATTATAAGTTATTTAAATATGTTTGCCTCACAACAGTGACAAATACTGCCAGTATATGGGCGACTCACGTCGGGGAATCAGTCAGGTCGTCCTGTAGCCATTGAGGGACATTACGCATGCCAATGCGTTTCAGCAATTTCACAAGTGCCGTATTGTGACTTAAAAAGTACCGTTGAAGCAATTTTAAAGATTTCTCCTCCATAGGAGGATAATGTCGGCCTTTAGATTTGCCCAAACACTTAGTACGCTCTCCGTTTAGCACTTGGCAATAAAACTTTTTCATCTCGTCGTACCTGAAGTTATCATAAATCAAATTTAATTATTAGAAAATAAACTCGATTGGTGTTCATTTTACCTCAGATGTCCGGTATAGTTAAATTGCGGTGTTATCTTCAGGAACTTCTGCAACTCATCCATAATTTCAATAGGATTAGATTTTAAGATTTCACCGTCAATGATATGCAGTTGTTGAGGCGGGAAATACGTGAGCCACCTCTCCAAATGCTGCGAATACTTTCCGGGGTTCAGACAACGATTCCGCAACTCTCTGAGCGGCTTTGGGGCAGTGTCACCGGCAGTAATAACTTGATGGAAACTGTAATTATTAGCAATCGTGTCTCCGTGTGCTTTGATGTGCTGATACCAAGAATATGCCCGTTTGGCAGGTGATATCAGTATGGTGACAAGCTTGGTATGAGGTAAGAGCGCGTGCACCCTTTTGGGCACTAAATCTCCGTCAAAGTACGTGGCACTTTTCTCGAACATGTAGTGCGAGGAATTTACGTCCACCGGAAAGAAATCCATATACCAATCGAGACCTTTGTAATAATTATTAGCGTTGAAGAATTGTATTTCCTCGAACGTTTCTGTACTCGGCAGATTGCTGGCGATCGATGGATGGATTGAGAGGAATGTGTATAAGGCCGTGGTTCCTGTCTTCTGCGGTCCGATAACTAAAAACTTTGGCAGTGAATCGCATGATTTATTTTTAGACCATATTTTTTGATGTTTAGGATCATCGCAAGGGTTCTACACAAAGAAAAAAAATATTGTGAATAAAGAAATAATTTGCAAATAATAAGTGTATAATTACCCCCCAAATAGGGTCAGTCTCTTCAGGGTAGAGCTTGAAGTAGTTTTCTGCTATTTGCAGAGGCGTGTCTGAACTTAGTCTTATGTTGGTCCAACATTGCACAAATTTGATCACTGATTCAAATGTATATAAGGCCAGTCTGTCGTTTCCATAATTCGACATATGGGTCATAAAAATATTTATCTACAAATATAAAAATATATAGTAAATTTAAAATCAAACATAAGCACAAATATTATTTACTGGTAGACAAACTTAGGTATATAGCCATTTCGACGATATTTATAAATAAAAAATGAGAAAATAATGAAGTAAAAGTAGTATCTGCAACTTACGGGATTATATACTATTGTCTGAAAGAGTTCACCACCTTGTATGGATTCATCCAATTTATCTCTGCCACCAGGATATTTATCTATGTAAATAGTGTGGGTGAATAGTCCGCAGGTTTGCCTAGGTAGCACCATTATATTGCGATGTATAAATCCGCGGCGCAATCTAAACGAAGAGTAAAAAGTAATTAAGCAATGGATAAATTGGTTTAGGAGAACTCAAACATTTACCTTGCCGGTCTCAAATGAGGATATTCCTCAGTTGATGTAACACGAATGTTCCAAACATTTTTCCAAGCAGTGTAGAGCAGTTCGTGAGCTGGATAAACTCCGGAATGATGCGGCGAAACAGAATATCCGGAATCAAACGGTATACCCTTTTCTTCAGCGAAATTTTTATTTAAATTCATATCGTCTATCAGTTGGGTCAGATTGTCGTACAGATGGGGTTGCTGGTGGTTCCACATGTGGCTAAACCATCTGAACTCATCTATATTTTCAAGAATTAAATCATCGCCTTTGTCTTCATCAGGATTTCCATGCTGGTAGTATTTGCCGGAAAACCCTAGATTGAATTTGAATCCGGGTACCATATTCTGGATTCTTCGCTGTGTAGAAAGCATTGCACTGACATCTTCAGGTTTAATTCTAGTGCCTTTATCGCCGACAAATATGTCATCTATGTCAATTAAAAACTTCCTTTCCAAAGATAAACTTAGTTGTCCATGACTGAGGTAGCTTAAAGAGTCGAGGAATAAAAGTCGGTGGAGCCAGAACTTCAGACCAGAACCGAAGATCACGCGTTGAATATTATCGAAGAGGCCGTGGTCCTGAACTATCGTTGTCAATGGGGTTTTCATCAAACCTTCGTGTCCGTAATCATCAATCTTATGGGCCCATTCGAGAGGCTCATAAGTAGAGTGATTGGCTTGAAAAATCGTCCAATCATCGCCAGGCAATGTACCCCACATCGTCCCCCCAGGCCGAGTCAACCTTAATATCTGAGAGGCGGCGTTTAAGGCCGCATCCTTCAACTGGATGTTCGTGTGTATAAAAATCGGGAAACCTTTCAGTTCAGCGCCGACCAATGTCTCTTCGCTGGGATTTATAAATCCTATAATCCCGACGAAATACTCCCGGCAATATTTATCTAGAAGCTCTCGATTCCATTTATCCATCTGAAGGTATTTGTTCAAGTCTTCGAAAACAATAACGCCGTATTTTCCTTTATCGAGGCTCGTCAAAACTGGGACACTCTTCCCGACCACCTCAATTTTGTATTTAATTCTCGTATGAACCAAAAGCTCGGCGATGTCCTTGCCCAGCTTCGAATACATTGTTTCGACAAATACTAATACCTTCGGATCACTCCGCAATCGCGCATCAGTTTTATGATCGTGGTTCTGGGGTAGCCTGGGCCCGTTCAGCCTGCTACATCTTATATTCGGAGTAGGCCTGGTGCTGCGATGAAAACTATAAACATACTATTAACAACTTCTCCAATAAAAACTACCACATTATATTAACAAACCTGTAATTGATGTACTTCAAATCGAACTGCGACAACCGATAATAGTATATAAGTGTAATTAAAATTAAAACGGCTAAGATTGAAATCTTCCAATTGATTCGGCGCGGGAAGAACCTATTCGATATCCAATTCCTTAAGCATTGCGTTATGCAGTTCTTTTTACGCTTGACGGTCGCCTCCTTGCCGAGTAGAGGTTTCCGCAATTTGTCAATATTCATTTTAAAATTAGTCATCCCACGAAAAAGCACGATTTGTAAAAAATACACGTATAAAAAATAAATATATATCTATATATTGTTTTCCTTCAATTTTCATTATTATTTGGAATGCTGCTTATTTATTTCACAGTCGCCTCATAACGAAATATGCTGAAGTCTCCACTTAGAAAATCTTCCACTGTTCCAAATCGCATTCCTCATTGTTCCTGGTTTTCATATTTTGTTGAGAAGGTTGCAAGAGTTTTGCAAATACATTTCTTTTCGACTATTATAGAGAAATTATATCTGCAACAAAAAGAATAATTAGCTCTGGTCATCATTATCTGGAAGAAAAGATATAGGGGACGTGCTGCAGTGAGATTAGCAACGTTTGTGTTTTGATATTTCAAAGTCTGTTGACCTAAATTCATAAGTCATCTGAATAGCAAATGTGAAATTACATTATTTTATACAATTGTTGAAAGCTAACCGAATCATCGCCGATTGGGATTGTATTTTATTGAAATCTATTTCAATAAAATTCTATATACTTGCAGCATACATAATGTGATTTAACAATATAAAATTACTTAAATAAATGGAAAAAATTACAGTTAGTTATAATACAAAATTACAATTGTGCATTGTTAACTAGAAGCAAAAAAATGTTGACAATGCTGACCAGATTTAATTAACAATATTTATTGTAACAAAATGAAATAAAAAATATATGAAAAATTAGGTAATTGTGCATTATTCATGTGCTTTCTAATTATTTAACATTAAATATAGAAGCAGTGTTAAACTCGGTATTAACATATTTTACATCGCGATCTGAGGACGAGGCGAGACGGAATAACATGAATAAGGCATAAATGCATGTTATTTATGTTACAAATTATTGCAAATATTCAAATTTATAACATAAATAATGCAACACGTCTCTCAAAAAAAAAACTTAAGTAATGCAAATATACTATTAAATAAACAATAGTTTCAATAAATCTGATCTACTTTACTTAGCAAGTTGTACTTAAATCTGAAATCCAATTGATAATTATCTTGCAAGGTTAATGTTACACAGCCTCACAAACAAATCAAAGTTGTTTTAAATGTTGACTCTGTGTGTGTGTGCAATGTATATACATGAAATACAGACTATTTTCTTTCTATTAAAAAGCACAGACTCACCACATTAATAAAGCCTCTACATTCTGATGTTTATTTATAACAATTCCATACTAAGTACACTTGACTTAGCTCGTTTCCATCCTAACAACAATCTGTGGGCTGTACACAAACAGATTAGATTCACAATTTACAAGTTGAACAACACTCGAACATCGAATGTCAAATTTTACAATCTGTTCCAGATTTTTTTAAACCACCATTCTTAATAACATGCACTATCTATTCCATATCTTCTATATGGGTATTCAATTAAGTCTCAACTTGTACTGTTTTATTATACAGTTGATCCAAAGCAATAATATTGTTGTGAATAGTTCTGGTACTATAAGCAACAATACTTATTTCTGCAGTAAAATAAAGATTACATACTCTCTTTCCCTTATATACAGATCGTCAAGGTTTTAGCGAATCGTTCCTTGTAGTAACTTTCCACTGTTTAAATAAGAAAGAATCAATGGGTGGAAATTTCCTCAACCCTATTTTGTCGTCTTCTTTAGTTAAACATCCTTGGACGCAACAATTGTAAACCATCCTAATTCACAACGTGCATTAATTGTACATACATATATATAGAAAGAATAATTGAAGAAATGTTACTTACTTGTTTGTTTTATCAATGTCGAAATCAAAATCAGAGGGACCTAATTCATAGTATAGGCCCCCTGGTCGTGTGTACGTTTGGTTTGGTTGCATACCAATTCAACATGAATGTTAGATTCTATTATACTTTTTTAGCATAGAATTTATTGTATCAGGCAATTAAAAAAAAAGTGATTCATCATCCACATAGAAATAAATTACTTTTATAATTTATTTTCCCAGTTGGATTGAAAGACTGATCATTTGAGGAATTCCAGGATAATGATGTTTCAATTCAATTTCCAACTTTGTCTCGAGCAACCAAGAGTACACGTGTGTCCTGGAGCGGTGACAATCGCAAGCCCTACAACCTAAATACTGTCAATCAAAATCCCGACGTTCGAAATCCCGGCAACCATAATCCCGACTGTATAGAAAATGTGTACAATAACATTTTTAAATTATTCCGGAGCATGGTCACTTTTAAATAGTTATTAATAATAAATTTAAAAAAATAATAATATAATTGTATTTGAGATTATTTCATAATGTTTAGGTATTTATTATGAATAATTCAACAAAATCAAATAAATTAATAATAATTTATTGTTATTAATAATAAAAATGTAGCAAGAAATGAGGAGCAAAATACCGCTGATTTTAGCAGCAAATAAATACACTAACAAACGGTAAAACTATGCAAAGCACATCTCTGATCATAGATGTAATTGTGGAAATTGCAAAGCTGAATAGGAAGTAAACTATTTTTTTATAATAATGATATAGGACCGTTTACAATAAACTTGGAACATGCGGAGAATAATGAGTCTACCATTTGGTCCATGGCTATGGGCAACAAGTTAAAAAAGAAATAATATCTAACGCTTTCCTCACATCCGCATTTCCGAAAAATGAAATTCCTTCGCATCTTGTTGCAGGGATATCTATCATTAGAGGGAATTTTCTCAAACGCAGATGATTGAGGAGATTAGGTGTGCGGACGCTACTAGAATAGATAGAATCAATCTGAGGACTATGAACGAGGACGGTAGTCCCAAGTACGTTCTAATTCTTTCTATTATCTTTCATAATGGAAGATCGGTGGAGTTGTACGTACACACCAAAGTCATATGTAAGAGCCCAGAGATAAGTTGCCCAGGAGTTGTCTTCATTGTGGAGCAGCACATTTGGCTAATGAGCATAATTTACGCCTGGCTGATAGGATATGTTCGGAGTAAATCAGGCAGAAGAGGATTTAAAGTTAGTGTAATGAATGTATTCATGCAATCAAAATTAACTTATTTTTTATTTGGTAGCAAACCAAAAGGATATTGAATAAAGACCAACACCAACACTTGGACAACTTAGCTGAACACTTTGATATACCCAAATATCCTGGACTAAATAGAAATTTTATTTGTAAATATTGTATTATTCTAATTATTATATTTATGGTTAATCTATTTTTATTCCAACTTACTTTTTTTTACATATATTTACAGTAACTTCTTTGGGGAAAATGACATGCAACAATGTAAATAAACAATGATTGAGTTAATAACAACAATTATTAATACTACTTTTTGAAGGAACATCAAGGAAAGTATATATTAACATTCAGATACCTTATCCAGATATGCCCTTTACAAAACACGAATTGTGCGCTTAATAACATATAACACGCAATTATTTACAATTGGTGTGTTCAAATGGATTTGGTTTAAATTAAGTATGTTCAACCAAAAATACAATTTTATTTTCTAATCTTATAAACATTCATTTAAGCTTTTTACATGGTAACTATTAACGTTGAAATTAAAGAGAAGAATTGTTTTTATGTATTTTGTCTTGTTTCAATTCAATGCTGATATGTCAAATAGCATGGCAAATTGGACCCCTATAGCATTGCATTTCATTAAGTGATGGATATAAAAACTGTTCTTTGGTTTGATTTCGCGTTGCACCATTATTTAACGAATGAAAAATATGAGTATTGCTTTTTAGTGATGTTGAATAAATCAATTCTGCCAACTGGATGATTAATGCGATGCTGCTTCTCTTATTTGAGTTGTAAACGGATAACATTTTAAAAATATATATAAATACATATAAATTAAAAAATAAATATTTTAAATATACAATGATCACATATATTGATTTCCTAATTTCCGCTTCATGCGTTAATATGCTTATAGTGTGGATTTGATATAAACACCGACAAAAAATAAAGATTGAAGTCCTACCATTATAAGTTATATTATCAATAGAAATGTTTAGAATCGCTTGACTTCCTTTTTTTATCATTCTTGAAATATTGACTTTTATGTAATGTAATTATTTCACGTTAGTCGGGTTTAAGTACCAAATTGTTTCTGTTTGTTAAAAATCTAATACTGTTTGTCTCACAACAGTGACAAATACTGCCAGTATAGGACCGATGGGCGACTCACGTCGGGGAATCAGTCAGGTCGTCCTGTAGCCATTGAGGGACATTCCGCATGCCAATGCGTTTCAGCAATTTCACCAGTGCCGTATTGTGACTTAAATAGTAACGTTGAAGCAATTTTAAAGATTTCTCCTCCATAGGAGGATAATGTCGACCTTTAGACTTGCCCAAACACTTAGTACGCTCTCCGTTTAGCACTTGGCAATAAAACTTTTTCTTCTCGTCGTACCTGAAATCATCATAAATCAAACTTAATTATTAGAAAATAAACTCGATTGGTGTTCATTTTACCTCAAATGTCCGGTATAGTTAAATTGCGGTGTTATCTTCAGGAACTTCTGCAGTTCGTCCATAACTTCAATGGGATTAGATTTCAGGATTTCGCCGTCAATGATATGCAGTTGTTGAGGCGGGAAATACGTGAGCCACCTCTCCAAATGCTGCGAATACTTTCCGGGGTTCAGACAACGATTCCGCAACTCTCTGAGCGGCTTTGGGGCAGTGTCACCGGCAGTAATAACTTGATGGAAACTGTAATTATTAGCAATCGTGTCTCCGTGTGCTTTGATGTGCTGATACCAAGAATACGCCCGTTTGGCAGGTGATATCAGTATGGTGACAAGTTTGGTATGAGGTAGGAGCGCGTGCACCCTTTTGGGCACTAAATCTCCGTCAAAGTACGTGGCACTTTTCTCGAACATGTAGCGCGAGGAGTTTACGTCCACCGGAAAGAAATTCATATACCAATCGAGACCTTTGTAATAATTATTAGCGTTGAAGAATTGTATTTCCTCGAAAGTTTCTGTACTCGGTAGATTGCTGGCGATCGATGGATGGATTGAGAGGAATGTGTATAAGGCCGTGGTTCCCGTCTTCTGCGGTCCGATAACTAAAAACTTTGGCAGTGAATCGCATGATTTATTTTTAGACCATATTTTTTGATGTTTAGGATCATCGCACGGGTTCTGCGCAAAGAAAAATATTGTGAATAAAGAAATAATTTGCAAACAATAAGTGTATTATAATTACCCCCCAAATAGGGTCAGTCTCTTCAGGGTAGAGTTTGAAGTAGCTTTCTGCTAATTGCAGAGGCGTGTCCGAACTTAGTTTTATGTTGGTCCAACATTGCAGAAATTTAATCACTGATTCAAATGTATATAAGGCAAGTCTGTCGTTTCCATAATTCGACATATGGGTCATAAAAATATTTATCTACAAATACAAAAAATATAATAAATTTAAAATCAAACATAAGCAGAAAAACTTAGATGTAAAGCCATTTTGACGCCAATAAAAAATTGTAAATAAATAATAAACAAAATTTATTGTATAACAAAATATGAAGGGTTATTAACCGCAGTCTCTCCGCATATATATATACATATTTATTATTTACAAATTATTAAAGAAAAAATCATTCAGAATTTGAGAATCAAATATTTGAACTTTCAATAATAAAAAAATGTATCAAAATTTGTGTGATAGCAATGATTCAGTATGTTTTTATTTGAATAACGTTTATGTAAATATTTATAAGTTGCTTAAGAACACAAGTTTAACCACATAAATGAACAGATTGTGAATAAAATTATACGGCATAAAAAAAACTTAATGTACAATTCATTAATAATTATAATATACACATAATTAATTGATAATTATGAGACTATTGACTTTCTGCTTAGAATTACAATTTCAAAATATAATTAATACAACTATATGTGTAGAAATAATATAAAATTGCGGAAATAAATAAAAGTCTAATTAAATGTTTTTCATTAAATAGAATGATTTTTAAATTATGTGTTACTGATATACTAATAATATATGTATAATAATTAAATAAAGAATATCACAATATGTTAGTTTTGAAAATGAAACATAAAATAGCAATGGATTGTTGAACTTTATTTATAAATAAAAAATGTGAAAATAGTGAAGTAAAAGTAGCATGTGCAACTTACGGGATTATATACTATTGTCTGAAAGAGTTCACCACCTTGTATGGATTCATCCAATTTATCTCTGCCACCAGGATACTTATCTATGTAAATAGTGTGCGTGAATAGTCCGCAGGTTTGCCTAGGTAGCACCATTATATTGCGATGTATAAATCCGCGGCGCAATCTAAACGAAGAGGATAAAGTAATTAAGCAATGGATAAATTGGTTTAGGAGAACTCAAACATTTACCTTGCCGGCCTCAAATGCGGATATTCTTCAGTTGAGGTAACACGAATGTTCCAAACCCTTTTCCAAGCAGTGTAGAGCAGTTCGTGAGCTGGATAAACTCCGGAATGATGCGGCGAAACAGAATAACCTGAATCAAACGGTATACCCTTTTCTTTAGCGAAATTTTTATTTAAATTCATATCGTCTATCAGTTGGGTCAGATTGTCGTACAGATGGGGTTGCTGGTGGTTCCACATGTGGCTAAACCATCTGAACTCATCTATATTTTCAAGAATTAAATCATCGCCTTTGTCTTCATCAGGATTTCCATGCTGGTAGTATTTGCCGGAAAACCCTAGATTGAATTTGAATCCGGGTACCATATTCTGGATTCTTCGCTGTGTAGAAAGCATTGCACTGACATCTTCAGGTTTAATTCTAGTGCCTTTATCGCCGACAAATATGTCATCTATGTCAATTAAAAACTTCCTTTCCAAAGATAAACTTAGTTGTCCATGACTGAGGTAGCTTAAAGAGTCGAGGAATAAAAGTCGGTGGAGCCAGAACTTCAGACCAGAACCGAAGATCACGCGTTGAATATTATCGAAGAGGCCGTGGTCCTGAACTATCGTTGTCAATGGGGTTTTCATCAAACCTTCGTGTCCGTAATCATCAATCTTATGGGCCCATTCGAGAGGCTCATAAGTAGAGTGATTGGCTTGAAAAATCGTCCAATCATCGCCAGGCAATGGACCCCACACCGTCTCCCCGGGACGAGTCAGCCTTAATATCTGAGAAGCGGCGTTTAACGCCGCATCCTTCAACTGGATGTTCGTATGTATGAAAATCGGGAAACCTTTCAGTTCAGCGCCGACCAATGTCTCTTCGCTGGGATTTATAAATCCTATAATCCCGACGAAATACTCCCGGCAATATTTATCTAGAAGCTCCCGATTCCATTTATCCATCTGAAGGTATTTGTTTAAGTTTTCGAAAACAATAACGCCGTATTTTCCTTTATCGAGGCTCGTCAAAACTGGGACACTCTTCCCGGCCACCTCGATTTTGTATTTGATTCGCGTATGAACCAAAAGCTCGGCGATATCCTTGCCAAGCTTCGAATACATTGTTTCTACGAAAACTAATACCTTCGGATCGCTCCGTAATCGAGCCTCAGTTTTGTGATCGTGGTTCTGCGGCAGCCTCGGTCCGTTTATCATGCTACATCTTATGTTCGGAGTAGGCCTGGTGCTGCGATGAAAACTAGACATACTATTAACAACTTCTCATAACAACAATCACAACATGATAATAACGAACCTGTAATTGATGTTGATGTACTTCAAATCGAATTGTGACAACCGATAATAGTAAATGGGTATAATAATTAAAACTACAATTAAAACGGCTAGGATTAAAATCTTCAAATTGCTGATTCGGTGCGGGAAAAGCCTGGTCGGTATCCAATTCCTTAGGCATTGCGTCATGCAATTCTTTTTTCGCTTGATGGTGGCTTCCTTGCCGAGCAGAGGTAATCGCAATTTGTCAATATTCATCTTAAAATTAGTCATCCCACGAAAAAAGCACGATATTTTTCAAATTAAACAAATGTATGGCACAGTATTGTAAAATGTAAAATAACAAAATACACGTATAAAAAATTAATATTTATCTATATATTTTTTTCCTTCTATTTATTATTATTATTTGGAATGCTGCTTATTTATTTCACTGTCCTCATAACAAAATGCGCTGCAGTCTCCACTTGAAATGCTTCCACAGTTCGAAATCGTATTCCTCATTCCCCCTCGTATTCATATTTTGCTGAGAGGATTACAAGAGAGTTTTTTAAATACATTTCTTTTCGACTTTTATGCAGGTTGAAGAAAGAATGAAATTATATCTGAAACAAAGAGAAAAATGAGCACTGGTCATCATTATCTGGATGAAAGGATGTAGAGGACGTGCTGCAAGTGAGATTAGCAACGTTTGTGTTTTGATATTTCAAAGTCTATTGACCTAAATTGATAAGTCGTCTGAATTGCAAACGCGAAATTACATTATTTTATACAATTGTTGAAAGCAAACCAAATCATCGCCGAATGGGATCATTTTAAAATTATGTAAATGGGTAAATAAGTAAAAAAACTCAAATATAAATATATTGATTTATTTCAATTATTACAACCAGAGAGTCAAACCGAAATTTCCGTACCTGTTTCGGTTCGTTTAAAAATTTCATTCATTAAAATTAAAATCGAAAAAAAAAAAACAATTTATATTAATTAAAATTATAAATCAAGACGAGTATCAATCAAATGTCTACCAGTTTAAATTTTGGTGTAAATAAACCAAAATTTAAACCTTTTTATTCTTGTTTTAAATTATAAAATTAAATTTTAATTAAAATTAAAAATTGTTTACTTTATTGTTAAAAACGAAAACAAAATACAATTTTGGAATGTGCATATTTAAGAAATACAAAAACATTGCACATATATAAAATAAAACTCTAACAAATTAGGAGAAAAAATACAAAAATAATTAATGACACAGTTCATATAATCACAATTAAAAAAAAGAAAAAACGTTAATAAATAATATCTTTTCCCTTACAAAAATAATAAGTAACAGGAAAAGGAAAAACAAACTTTTTTCTTATAAAAAAAAACAATAAAAAATAACTAGTTCATTCAGTTGAATAAAATAATATGGAAAATTTAAAATGAAAATTAATAATTAATAGATAGATTTGCCTCTGATAGATTAATTCTTTTATCAGTCAAAATAAGTTTCAATGCCGAAAATGTCAGCAGAAAAATACCGTTATTTTTTTTTTCCAGTTTTGCTTTTTAAATTGAACAATTTTACATTCCCGTTGCAGTTAATTTCGGTTTAGGGTTCGGTTCCAGTTCGACTCTTTGAATACAACATACATACATAATATGAAATCAAAATATCCACATAAATGGATGGGAAAAAATCAGTTAATTATAATTGTGCATCCAAACAATACTGACGAGGATAAATTTAAAATAATTTTAAAATAATAACAATATTTATTGCAATAAACATACAATAACATAAATAAATACACAAACAAAAGTTTGAAATAAAAAAATATCTGAACAATTGCAACGAACCGTAGGTCCTTACAGCCATTACCAATACCAATTTCCAGGAAATATAAAACTAAATTACAATTGTGTATTGTTCATGTACTTTATTATTATTTATTATTAAACATTGAATATAAAAGCAGTGTTAAACTCGGTATTAACTTACTTTACACCGCTATCTGAGAATGAGGCGAGACAGAATAACATGAATAAGGCATAAATGCATGTTATTTGTGTTACAAATTATTGCAAATATTTAAATTTATAACATAAATAATGCAACGCGAATTCTTTCGTCAAGGCTATCTATCAAGAGACGAATTTATATAAAAACAACAAGATATAAAATTTCCATTACTACATTCCATATCTAAGTATATACACTAAATCTTATAGTGTTTGATTTTTAATAATGTATTGGAATTAAATAATTTCTCATATCTCGTAATCAAAATTAGATTGTAATTATATTTGAAATATATAAGTTAGAGGAGCAATATTTTGCGCAAAAACGAAGAAAAATTTCTTCTCAAATGATGAGATCATAATCTAAATATAAGAATTCATAAAATAAACGTATGTACGTTAGTTGATAGTCAAAAGCCCCACGCGGGGGGAATTGTTTGTGAATTTATGATGTGTGAACTTTGACTGCAAAAAATATATATTGTATCTCGTTGATACTAGAAATGGAAATATTTTGGCCTGCTTTCAAATATTAAAAAGCTGAATTTCTTTTTAATAAATATTTAAAAGATAATTTGTGTATATATTTGGATAATTAAAAAAGTTTAAGGGCCAATTAACCTTACCCCAAATGTGAAACACATGTTGTTTCCCACAGACAATAGCCCACTTTATGAGCTATTTAAGGCATGCAGACACACACACTGCTTAGGGAGTCCACCAGTTTTTAGTTACATATTTACAGCTTACATTAGAATGGTACAAATGGTAAAATAAAAAACAACTTAAGTAATGCAAGTATACTAACTATCAATATAAACAATAGTTTCAACAAACCTGGTCTACTTTACTTAGCACAGTGTGCTTATTCAACTGAAATCCAATTGATAATGATCTCGCAAGGTTAATGTTACACAGCCTCCCAAACAAATCAAAGTTGTTTTAAATGCTGCCTCTGTGTGTGTGCTGTGTATATACATGTAATACAGACTATTTTCTCTTCACTCGAAAGCACGAACTCACCGCATTAATAAAGCCTTTGCATCGTGATGTTTATTTATAACAGTTCCATACTAATTCCACTTGACTTTCAGCTCGTTTCCATGCTAACAACAATCTGTGGGCCGCACACAAACAAATTTGCTTCACAATTTACAAGTTGAACAACACTCGGACTACAACAACACCAACTGTCAAGTTTCACAATCGGTTTGACACTGACCCTTCCTCGGCACACGCGCTGCTTTTCGTCCTATGTTGAACTGAACTAAACCCGCTGCAACGAATTCCCGTCACTTCGATTTTTAGGTACGTTTGGTTGCATACTCATTCGGCATGAATTTTATACAAAGATTCAATTTATTGCATATAATATAGATGATTTCTCAGTGGGACTATAAAACAAATTGTTGTTCCATTTCAATTTCATAATTCTTTATTTGTTTTAATTAATATTACAATAATATTTCTATTGATATATACCGCAAACGATCGCTTTTTCAGACGAATTGATTGTGTTCTGTCTTCTTTGTAATTACTAAAAAGTATACTGTTTGTAATTCGCGTAGAAATATGTATGGTCTAACTGACAAAAAAAATGTTTTTCATTCCATGTAGCCATAAATAGTACATCAAAAGGAAGACACAATAAATATTTTAACAGATATGTCTTGAGAGTATATGCCGCCATCATATGAATACTTTTTCGTTCCCTTTCAACACAATTTATTGACAAAAGATATTCAGATTTTGATCCAGAATTAGATTGAGAGCACCAACGGTGCAATTAGTTAGAGTAAGAAGAAATTTAATTTCTTCGTAAAATCGAAATTTCATCAATATCAAATTTCATGCGCATGGAATTTTATTCATTGATTACTTTGAGAAAGGAAAAACTATCATTAACGAATATTATATGGCGTATTGGTGTGTTTGAAGAAATTAATTGCGAAAAAACGACCACAAATGAAGAAGAAAAATGTGCTCTTTCACCATGACAATGCACCGTGTCACAAGTCAATCAAAACGATGGCAAAAATGCACGAATTGCGCTTTGAATTGCTCCCTCGTCCACCGTATTCTCCAGATCTGGCCAGCGACTACTACCTGTTTGAAGATTTAAAAAGTGATTGCCGTACCTGAAGCGTATTTTGATGCAAGAAAGGTATCGAATAGTTAGAGAAGCGTTGAGATGAATGTATTGAAGGAAACTTGTTGATGAATAAAGTCGAATATTGCCCAAAAGTTGTTGTTTTATTAATCATCCTACGAACTTATTGAGTGAGGTGTTGTTTTAAAAATTATATAACGTAGAAATAATTGTACACATTTACGCCATACTTTTTCTAAAACGTTTTCAAACGACTGCGTTAAGAGAGGAAGAAATAGTATAATATAAATTATTATGTTTATTATGTATTTTTTTAATGAAATTATTTATAAATTATCTATATACATAAATATATTGTAATTAAATCAAATTTTAAAATTACTGAATTGCAATCAATGTAATAAAAAAACTTTATCAATTATATGACGGACTAAAGAAAAATGTATATAGAATTTGATAAAAATAATATTTCTTATTTTTTATGTTTCCACATTGATAAAATCAGTGAAGCATAAGAAAGATTTTTTCCTATTCTATCATGTTATGTATATTACGTTAATAATATATTTTTTATATAATATTCTATTGATCTATAATAAGTATTAGATTACTTTATAATAGATTCTCTAAAATCAAAATATCTAATTTGTGATAGCATTATCAATTTCTATGAAGTGAAACTAAGTATGATTATAAAGTTTCTTTGGGACTGTCAGTTTATTTTGTGAAACGTATTATAATACAAAATTAATATCAATTTAAACTAGTAAATAAATCAAATTTATTATGTACTACAGCTTTTCAACTTCAGTCAGTTTTTGGTAATTATAACTTTATATAATTTTGTTATATATGCAAATAAATTTTACTAAAAATATTAATGTGAATATGAATATACATTTAATTGTTAAATTATGGCAGGTACAGGTTATTAACCTGTCGCAAAATAAATTGAATATTAATGAAAATTTACATCCGTATTATGTATTCAAATCGAATAAGTTTTAATTTGAATCATAAGTTTTTAATCAAACTTAGTACATTCATCTTTATTAAATATTATTAATATATTGATAACTTTATTCCTTATATATTTTGTCAATATTAATTGTAAATTATTTATCCTTTTGATGACAATTAAATATGAAGTATTCAAAACTATAAGTTTAATTTTAATGGTTTCAAAATATTACTAATATTATAAATATTTAGATTTTGTAAATACATCTATAATTAATTTACTAATTATTTTTGATACTTCTTTTAGTTTTATGTTCATCGAGATCAAAGAATTTTTTTTCAATTACTTAAGTTTACAGGTGAAATATGCCTTTGAAGCCGGAATTGAATGGAACTCTAGACTAAAGATATTGCAAAACGCAGCTCCCTTTAAGAAATCAATTGCATCAAAATATTATTTAATATTGCATAGGAAATCGTCGAGCAATCATCAATGGGTTTCGCTTTTGGATCAAGTCATGCACGGCCTGTTTTATATAATCCTTGCGGTTTACATTGGATGCTTGCTTATTTATAATCATTGGCGCGTTTTGTTTATCGAATGGCAAAAATCATTTTCCATCCATATAATAATCGTTATACACGCTTTAGCCCAAAGAACGTTTGAGAAACAGAACAGAATAACGCAATCACGAAATCAATTCGTTTCCGGATTTGGGATCGCTTTTTGCAACTATATAAGACTGATGGTGGATAATCAGTTTAATCAGTCGGTGATCTGCATTCAGAACAAAATGAATTCCCTTGTTTCGGCAATTGTATTTGAAACATTTTTAAGCGTACTATCTGTGTAATTTACAATAAATGAGTTTTAGGTATTGGTTTTCGCGTTGGTCGGATGTACAGCGGTCGAGGTCAAGGAAGATGATGCGTCAGCATCAGGTGCTTACTCGTACCATAACTTTAGTGGACCGGTGAGCGGACAAATACGCGAAGTTTACGTGAAGGATAAGCTCGATTACGTGGTGAGTTAAAGTTGGAAGTTCTAGCAAAATAAGCGAATTAATTTAATTTACCTGTTTTCGTGGATGAAAGGCGAAGCCGGATTACAGTTACTCCTATGGGGTGAAAGATCCTTCAACTGGTAATGACCAGCAACATCGTCAGACTCGTCTCGGCGATGCAGTCCAAGGGGAATATAAAGTTCTTCAAGCTGATGGAAGCATGCGTGTGGTGCGATACACAGCTGATGCGAAGAACGGATTCCGAGCGACAGTAGAGTATCATTAGTGACACTATATTAATTTTGCAACGACGCGAAATGACAAGATAATAATAGCACGACAAAAGCCACAGCCATAACGAGATGAATAACATACAAAAAAAATAAAAGAGCAAGAAACCGTAAACAATTAACGTATTGTGCAGTAGCTTCACGGAATTGTAAGGAGATCTGAGGACGCTTGCCTTTACCGTCGTCGTCGTCTTCGTTTACACGAACACTAACTGTGATTATAAATTGCTAGTTTATTAATTGAATCCAACCAAAAGCTGAAACACAAACAATACAAATTAACTATTACGAATGTTGAACGCGTATCTATACCCAGTTTGGGTCTCTTATGTCTCTCCAATATGAATACATGAATTCGAATACGAGATTGTCTCGATCATTAATTATTCACTTGCACGTAAAAACAAAACATTTGCATTTGCAATTAAATCAATCAAGGTGAACATATCATTAACATATATTAAATCTTTAGAGAAATTAAATAAATAAAATTTACTTGCATGCATTCTCTCAATGTGATCTATCTCATATTATTATATATTAATTATAACGTCATATTATCTAATAATTAATAAATATATTACAAATTGTTTTTATTATTTAATCTGATAAACTTACCCCAATTCAAATGAATAAAACATTACTTGATAAAATGTATTTAAAAAGAATTGAAATAATTCTTAAATAATTAGAGACAAAAAAGTGTAAAATAAAAAAAAATGTTTCTACTCACAATCGTATTGATTCTTTCTACCTAAAATATTGAATACACCGGTAATATGTTAAATATGTTAATTAGGCGGAATGATATATGATCAGTAGCCCTTTGTAACGGTTTGGTTATGATTTTATTTATATGTATTTATTCACGTTTGACAGTTATTATATTAACCCTTTGCGGACGACGATTTTTCAGCCGGGTCAGGTAGCAGGACGAGCCGAATTTTTTTACATATATAATATAATTTTGTGACGTTGGACCATGTTTGCCAAGCGACCGTGATGATAGCGATCTTCCTTCTAAGTTTTTTTGCAGAAACGTTGTGGCGACCGAGAGTCGCCTCTCGTCCGCAAAGGTTTAATCCTTATTATTGTATGCATGTATATGTATGTTTACGTACTTCTTAATGTACAAATTCCACTTAAGTGGATTCTAACTAATCAATGTATAATGACTATTCTTAATCACTATTGTTAATCATCATGTAAAGACTACTGTTGTACACAGAAAGCCATTCGATAATGACTACAAATATATACATCTCCCTAAACACTTAATGATTATATACTATCTTCCCTTACTAAATATTGTACTCCCACTTTGTTAATTCCCTACAATAAAATAGGATGTTTATGTAATACAAAGTTAGTCCTAGCTAGTAGCTAGTCTTAGTTTTAGAAGGGTAACCCAAGCTACGAGTTAGTAACTGGAAGTTAGTTTAAGAACTCATATTTATAGTGTTGATATATATTATTATTTGTGTTCAATGACTTTTATCTAGCCTATTACTAAAAATATCACTTGGATTTCACAACGACATAATTACGAAATATTTCACAGTGTCCAGAGATATTTCAATCCCGGGATACAACAATATATATTATTAGTATTATATTAATTATTTTGATATTAGGAGAATACTAGTGATACCTACATTAAAAAAAAAACTCTTAATATACAAAATCTATGTTAGTTAAAATTGATTATGAAATTATTACCTAGATTCAAATAACACTTATTGATTTCATACAAAAAATCCTAAAACAGTGTACATTTTGGTAAATACTACAAATTTAAAATTGTCAGCACGGTGCATTAACTTACGGAATCTATCGAAAACTATTAGGCATTATTTAAACCAAGTTAGATTATGCACATTGTAAAATGAATATGCAGGGCCACCCTGACCATAAGAGAACCAAGGGCTATAACTTATAAACAGAGGCGCATTATTCTTAGAAGTCCACAGGTGCCAAATTCTTAGGTCACCCTTGGCTACAAGACTAAGAACTAAAAAATACAAACATAAATATAAAATACGTGTTGGTCGTTGAAGAAAATGTAATCTACGTCATACATAACTATTAATTCATTGTGTGTTCTATGAATGGTTACGTAAACATAAAAAGCTGAGAATATTAGTAATTATGTTTAATAGATGTAAAAAGTCTATTTGCTATTGTTTATATTTAGAATTTAATGTGTAAAATTTAAGAAACAATCTTAATGAAATTGAAATATTTAAAAAATATCTTTTTAAAATTTTGTAAAGATATATGTAAATTAAATTAATTTTATATATTAGTATGAATGGACTTAAAATATTATATATTTCTTATAGTTACAGATGCTGCTGACATATAATTTTGTCATATATAAATATCAAGATCGTCCAACGTTGTTTATTCTTAAAACTTTTCTATTTAAAAAGCGACTGGGATCGAATTTTATGCATAAATAGTGTGATATGATTGTTGAAATTGAAATATAGTTTATTTTTTTGTCTTGTGTTACTAGCGTCACATTTGAAATAATAAGTTTTTTCAATTATTTACGATCGACCAAAAATATTGAGTTGTTAGTTCCCCCTGATATTCGTGTTTACATTATAGTAGGGTGTACAGCTTGATAAAGTTTTTTCATTATTTGTATGGAAGTGAATCACCAGAATGAATCACCATAATTTAATTATACTTTATTATTATAATGAGTAATAGATAATAGATCACACTAATTTTGTAGAAAATGACCATCTGGATTATACGGTATGGCCATATGCTATTATGTGTTAGGTGTGAATAGATAATTATAATATGGGAAAGGTTTATAATAATACAGATTAACGTAATGAAACAAAATAATTTACGAAGTATGTTTAATGTTAACTTTATGATTTTATACGTTTAAATGCTTCAATAAATATTATTATTCTCAAGTTTGATTGTTAGTTGTATTTATTTCTGTATTATAATTTGAACATTGAGTTATAATTCTAATTTTAAAGATAGACTATTATATAAAAACAAATTATTTTATATTTGCTTCTATTTTTGCAGAATTCCTAACGTCAAGGTGATTTTCCACTCGTAGACAGTCACATTGATCATGTTGTATGGAGTGCTGCTTGTAGATGTTGTTAGTCGACGAAAAAAGGATGTTAAGTAGATATTACAGAGGGTCCTAAGGGTGTCCTAAAAGGTGGCACAGGAAGTTACAAGAGACAGATGAAGAGTATGTTCTATAGAAAATGCATGTGGTTCTAGGAAGGGAACATATTTGCTATGTAGACAAGCTTTTTATTACCAGATGATTATGGATGGAAAATTCCATCGGATGTTGTGTGCACCACAGCATCAATACAATATAAATATCAGATTCGAAATATATAATTTGATAATATACAAATTTATTACAATTTTGATGACATTTCTAATAATAATAATATTTATTAGTTACAATAGTTAATTTCTATTTGGGATAAAAATGTCTAATTAAAAATGTTTAAAAGTGTCAATCAAAATTTAGCTTACATTAGCTTATACAGTGAAGTCCGTTACATAATGCACTGCTTTCGTGTTTTATAATTTCATTTTCAATCTCATTAACTTCCTGGTTAACTTTCCATCTTCTTTTGCCTGTAAAGTCACCCACTCATACTTTCTTTCTGTGCTTACGGCTTTCATTGAATATGAAGCTCCATTAGATTGTTATCTTATAGGAAAGGCAATTATATTTTAAGGTTAAAATATATATTTTTTCTTACATTCATAGTAAAATAACAATAATCATATCTTGTTGCTTCCACTATAGAAATTTACTGACGGCAACAAATTATTAAACAATTAATAGCTTTGAAGTGTTTAATAAACATTTCAGTTATTTTTCTCTATTGAATTTCTTACTATTGTGGATAATTTAATTTTAAAATATGTAAAAAAAAATCTTTTCAAGGTTTATTTATAAATTTATAAAAGTTTTAATTTATTTCTACTTTTGGAATTTATATTTCTTTATTATTTTCCAGTATAAATTCAGTTGTTTATATAAATAAAAAAGTAAAATAAAATTGAGAAATTAAATCAAATTAAGTAGTAAATAGTTGACATAATTACAGTTCTGCATTTCCTTGTCTACTCGTTAAGTATGTATAGAAAACGGCTTGCATTTCGCATCGGTATTTAAAATATGCTGAGCATCTTCTGGTATTCACTTCTGTCATTGTCGTTTTCCTATGCATTCCGTATACAAATTGCGTAATTATGTGATGCGTGAACTTATAATGCAGTCAGAATGTGTGCAGATGTCATGATAATCTGACAGCCGGGGCGTAACAAAGCAATTAGAGCTGAAAATACGGAAAATAACTACTTAAACTCGTTAAAAACGCCAGCAAACGGCTTTTACGAGCGGCGGCAGTAGCGAAAAGGATTCATTTTGTTAAAGGCCGTCTGCGTTAATTAAATATAATTGGTTTTCATAGCTCCCATTTAAAGTCACCACACTCTGCTGCACTTTTTTTAGCACTGCTCTACGGAAAATACACTTTTCAAAAGTTCATTTTATTCTCAACAATTAGTTTTTTTTTGTTGATGTTGCTTTTTATATAATGCGAGATATAAAAGGCGAACAGTAGTTTCAACGTTACATTTATTAAATAATTAACAAAGTTTACATATTATGTGTTTTGGAAAAATTATAAACTTTATTTATCTAGTAATATAAGTGAAAAATAAATGAAAATAATACAAATAAGTGAAAAATAAGTGGAAAATGACAAAAACTAATCTTCTGTTAAAAATCGGGCTTGAACGTTGACGGTATCAGAATAACGAGTTCGATGTGGAGAAGGCACGTGTTTTGTGTGCGCTCCCGATACTCGTTCGAGTTTTGGTTTGATGGCGTCCTCTCTGTGAGAGGTCGTCTTGTTAGAGATGGCATCTTAGTGGAGGGGCAGTATTCTTGTGATACAACAATAATGGGAAGACAAGGGTAAACTTTAAATTAAAACCATAATTAAGCAGAGAACGACCGTGAAGATGACTTGCTGTTTCATATGGAACGCAAATTGACAAAAACTTATCTTCTGTTAAAAACCGGGCTCGAATGTCGACGCTATCAGTTACCACTTTTTGTAAGGAGTAAATGTTTTCAAAAATCTGAAACCCAAAGTGTTATCCGTACAGTGCTGAGAGGTGTATGGCCCTGCAATAGTGGGTCTTGAATGGTGGCCTCCAGATACTTGGTGAACTGCAGTTGACATCTTTTGCGAGCCTACTCGTGGAATTCAAATGGTAGCCTAAAGAAAAAAACAAGTGAGGTTCCCACCTCCAAAAAAAAAGGGAAAAGTTGGTGATTTGGAGACGGTGGTGTTACAACTACGGTTCCTTATCATTAAAAAATGGATGGTACCAATTTAGACAAGATTAATCCGTTTTAA